TGGCTCCCTCTCCAATAAGATCTACAGTGATAGACCACATCAGCTCTAGGTTTTTAGATATGGTTATCATGGTTTTCTATGGGCTAGCAGACAAAGACTGGTATATGGTATATGTTCTTCATTTCAAAAACTAAGCCTGATAGGCAGAAACTAGTGATATTTATTTTGAATGACCAGGTCAATATACTCAGAAATAGGACAAACCTAGGCACTAAAATATGTGATTTTAAAGGCTCTGCTCTGTTTAGGATAAAATTGTTGAGTGTTTAAATATGCTATGTTATTGATCCCATTAAAAATAACCTGGTTTAAAATAGCTGAATCTAATATAAACATTCACTCTCTTTCTTAAATCTCACACTTTATTAAATAATAATATTGATAATAATAACAGCAACAACAAGAACAACAACAACAGTAACACTTTATTTATAACCTGCCCTCTCCTCCTGAAAGGACTCATTAAGAACACAGATCTGTTCTATACAGTATAGTCATGTATTAGTCAACTTCATCTCTTAAGTCAGTGGTTCTCAACCTGGGGTCCCCAGATGTTTTTAGCCTTCAACTCCCAGAAATCCTAACAGCTGGTAAACTGACTGGGATTTCTGGGAAATGTAGACTAAAAACATCTGGGGACCCCAGGCTGAGAACCACTGTCTTAAGTTAAGTGCAGGTTTTGGAGCCAAAATAATAGATTTTAATATGATCCCTGGCTAAGTCAAGGGTCATTCTACGGAGAGGGGAAAGCACAATGCCACCGCTGCCATTTCCCTTTTCAGGCACTTTAAGGCCAGACATGGCACCATGGCAGATGGAGTGCTTCTTTTGGATTCTCCCAGCATGGAAAAAGATCTCACCATCTACTCAGTTAAGATGATGGTTTCTTTTCTGTGATGACATGACCGAGTAGTGGCCATATTGTTCTTCGGTGGGATGTGAACTATTTCACACATCCATGGAGGTGTAGAGTGGGAAGAAGACAGCTAATAGGACAGCAAGTTTTAAAAAAAGAAAATGAGGGGGAAAGCAATCTTGTGGCTTCTTTAAGACTAACTGTTGTGTTTTACAATGCAGTTTTTGTGGATACAACTCACATTCTTAGATTGTATTTCAATGGATTGTAATGCATGCTAAAATAAGTCAATTTTTAAAAGGCCACACAGCTTATTCCCTTACCTTTTCATATTATAAAGAGTAATATAGCTGTCTCTTAAGAAGATATTTATAACTGTGCCTATAAAGCTCATTTTTGGCGGTTTTATTGCAAATTAATAAAAGAAAGAAATTGTATAACAGGGAGATAGTTCCCCAAACTAATGCATTGTTACAGTTGTGTAAGAAAGTACCTGCTTCTAATTCCTAAACCAAAGGAGATTTGAATGTCATGCACAAATCATTGTAAGAACATTTTGGGATACTATTCTAATATGCTAGAAAGCAAATGTCATGAAAGATAAAATGTGCAAAATTCTGGAATATAACATACACTTACCTGCGAATTATGGCCCAAAATTTGTTATTGATTTGGAGAAATAAGACAGCTGTTTGGAAACACTGACAATGATCCACATATTGAGTATTTAGTTTTCCACTAGACCTCCAGTTGGTTAGTCTTGTGTGTCCTTTCTAATTATCTCAAATATTAATGTCTTTGTAATTTTGGGAATTCAACAGGAACCTCCCAAAGAAGGAACTATCTTCCTTTTTTAGTACAGTGTAAGTTTGTGAAGTCAATTATACAGTCAGTATGATTAATTAACTAACGTAGAACTCCAAAGTACAACCCTGGGGTTCATAGAATTGACTAGTGTTTGACTGCCTTTACACAAAACTATTCTAAATCACATTTTATTGAGCAAAAGTTCATGAAGGTTAGGGGCAGAAGACTCCCATGAAAGTGGGAAAACTGCAAATTTAAAAGAGGTATCTTTTAAACTTGAGAGAATAGCTGTATGGGAATCCTTAGCTCCTCCAGGGCTACTCTACCCTGCAGGACCTAAAAATCTGCCAGAAGCTGACCTAAGTCTCTAGCAATGCCTTTTGAGTTTGGATCTTTCTCTCAGTTGCACATCCCATTCTCCCTCTGCATGGTTGACTTTCGTCCTTGGTGTCACTATGGTACTTATACCTAAACAAATGGTAACTGTATGTCACTACATCTCAGACATATTTTGTTGCTCCAGTATCAAAAGTTGTCACATATTTCTTAGGAATACCTTTGGCATCCTTCTCTGTTGCTTCCCTATCTTTTAAGTCAGAAGGTCATCCCTAACATATTTCCACAATTCCACCCCTGTTAATCTTGTATCCATTGCTGCATATTGAATGCTGTGTTAAGACCTTCTAGGCTTAGGCTGGCCTTCATTTTCTAACAGGTCACTGAACGGCTGTCACTGAGCGACTAAGCAGTTGGAAATGCTTTAACCAAAAAGCTGCCAAGACATTAAGATATTGAAAAGCATGCAAAGTTTGTATCTGCTGAATGTGGTTTGATACTTTTGTAACTTTGAGGTGTTGCTGGAGTTAGAAAATACTAATGCCATTCAGATGTGAAGTATGAATGTGTTACTGTTTAAAACAGAACTTTCCAAACATTTCATGTGGTGACTCATTTTTAAGACTTGCATCATTTTGTGACATAGTAATTTGGTATGGGAATACGTGTCCCATGAAAACCTGCCATTTATAGTTTTGGTACTGTTCTATTATCCGGGCGGAGACCAACAGGGGTGCTAGAGGTAAAAGGATTGTCCCATTTATGGGGTGGGCGGTGGATTGAAGGAGGAAAACCATTTCCCCTTGTTTCCCTGAAATCCCCCCACCCATGTCCCCATTGTGGAAACAATTCTCCTTCATGGTATGGGAAGGGGAGGGGGCATAGCCAGCGAACATGGGGGAAATTGTTTTCCTCCTTCAACTCCACCCCATAAATGGGACAATCCTTCTCTCTCTAGTGCCCCTGCTGGCCTCTGCCCAAATAATGGAACGGTAGCTATTTGGTAAAATACATGATTTTTTTGCTTATTTCACTGACTTAGAGGGGTCTCATTACATTTATGTGACACACTTATACGTTGCAGGTGACACAATAATGTGTTGTGACACACAATTTGGAAGAGTCTGAGTAGATCTGCCCTAAACTCAACACCTGTTTAGTGTATTTTTATGTTTTGAGGAACTGAACTAGATCACAGAGCAAAACAAACAACTCAGAAACGTCCATTAAAATACTCTTTTTAGAAGGAACATGTCTCCTTATATCTTCCGAGTGATTAATACCTCTCAGGGACAGAAACAGCAGGGAACCTGTCTGATGCAGGTTGGAGTTGTTAATATTCTCAATCAGTGGGGATTAAAGGATACGATTACCACATTCTTGCACTGTCTTCAGTTTCGTCTTGAGAGTGAGAAGGGGGAGCGGGGAGTAAGGCAATGATTTCCTATTTCTCTTCTCTTCTTGCTCAACTTGAGCAGCTTCATATGTATGTGTGAGAGAAATTCCTTTATATATAAAACTGGGTGACTGCCTGCCTAAAGCCTACTGCTTTCCTTGAAATATAAAGCAAAAGGGGTCCAGTAGGACTCCAAATATGGTGAAAATGCCCTAAAGATCAGTTTGGGCATTTTGAAGAAAACGTTTTTGACCCTCTGAGGCTTGTACTTTGCTTATATTTGACATAGACATTTTCCCTAAAATGTTTTGTAAACCAGCAACCTACCCAAGGAGGTGTAAAAAGCTGTTAGGATTGATTTAAACATATTATTATTATAATAATAAAATTGGTTAGAAGAGGTTTTTGAACTGCAAATTGTTTTTCAGATTTATTAAATAATTCAGCTGGCAGATACAGGCTTTTTTATTTGAACAGACATTTGGTCGACTGATTGGCTTATGTGGTGAGATCTTTTAACATATTATATTTTATCATCAAGAATTTAAATGATTTTGCATTAGTGTATTGCTGGTTTTTTTATTTGGTAGTTTACTGTTTTTTCATATCTAACTATTAGGGCATACCTTGTTATTTATGATATGAGCCCCCTTGGGGGTCACTTGTTGGGAGAAAGGTGAGATACTTATTAATTTGAAATGGCACATGTTTTTCTTAGGAGTGGGCAGAAAATCCTCACTCAGGCAGCTTGGGTTTCTTGTGCTGTTGAACCTATGAAGGAACTATAACAACCTAAACGTGTGTGTGGATTTTGGACTTCTTCACATTCACTCTTTTCAGGGTGAAGATTGCTTAATAGACTGAATTAAATTAGTGGGAAGTTCTCTGAATGGTCCCTTGAAGGAGATGAGCAAAGTACAAACTGAGCATCCCTTATCTGGAATTCTGAAACCCAAAATACTTTGTCCACATTGGTGACTGAGGTAATGACTCCATTACTTTCAGATTGTTCAATGGAGACAAACTTTGTGTCATGCACAAAAATATTTAAAATAATATGTAATTAATACCTTAAGGCTATGTTTGTAACTTATGTATATGAATCTTAAATGGAGCCCGGGTTCAGAATTGGGTTCCATCTCTAAGATATTTCATTATGTATGCATACAAGCATTCCAAAATCCCCCAAAATTCAAAATTCAGAGCACTTCTGGTCACAAGCATTTTGGATAAGGGATACTCAATCTGTACCAACTGTGCCTGGCCAAAATTCTACCTCATTGCATACCAGTTGCCTGCGTGTACATATTTTGCTTTTCACAACAATTTTTATCCGATATAGTTATGAAGAATGTCAGAGGAAATTTCAACAAGCTGCATCTCTCCTTTAAAAAATCAAAGTGCTTTGCAAAGCAGTGAGTGTTCAACAGTTTATAATGTCTACTAGCCTGGTTAGTATCTGCAGAATTCACATAGAGTTAATCCCTTGTACATAGATGAGCCTCTGATACCTATCTAATTGCTTCACCATGGGTGCAAATTCAGATACTATTCTATGTATTTATCTTTTTCCTCTAGACAATCAATAGTCAATCCATTACTTACCAGAGCTTATTGGTTATGCCATGCCAATGGAGCTCTCTCTTTCTTCTTGAATCATATCTGGGTTTTACTGTCCTGGCATCCTGTTTTTTTTCTCCACTTGGTTCATCTTGTGGATATCTGCACTGCTGCTGTACTTGGAAATTGTAGCCATTTCTTCTGAAGATTTTTACCAGATCACTGACATCTTGTTTTTAAAAACTAGGTAACTGATCCTACCTTTAATAGCCTACTGTGATGCCTTCCAGTCTTGCTGCACAACTGTTGTTGCTCATGACAACTTAAGATTGTCTGGGTGTTTGTGCTGTTTCACCCTGGAAGAAATTCTTTGTTTGAGAAGCTCTGAGGCATGAGAGTGGTCATTCCAGTCTGAGGCTCGGTTCTATTAATACCACTGTTTGGAACTGGCCCTTACTATCTGTTGAAAGTGCTGAACAGGCTCCAAATTCTTGCTGACCCACTCAGGGCAGCACCTCCCTTCATGCCAGCCACATACTCATGAATAAGCAGTAGGTTGGTGGCAGGGTTTCTCTGTCTCTCTCCTTGGAAATGAGTGAGCAGCACCATTTATGGATTATCATGTTCGGGTATATTATGGTCCTTGGTTATTCCCACTTTCTTTGGATGAGAAACAAGATGGGCAATATTGTGAAGGCCCTGGTGTAACGTTACAAATACACTTGGTCTTCCACATTCACAGGAACACAGGACCCCTGCAAAACCTTTTTTAAAGAAAAGAAGAACTCGACTATCTCACCCAGCCATATGCAACAGATTCCTTCCATGCCAACAGCCCCAGATGATCACTCCCTTTCCTAGATGAATCAGACTGAATGTAAAACCCATGTAAAACCCTTCTCTCATGTCTGCCGTTTCCCCACTTGCTTCTAATCCTCCCCATCCCTTGTCATAGTTTTTTCTGACCACAAAGATATCCCACTCTCTGTTGCCCTTCATCCCATCCCCAAATTTAAAAAAGAAGAAGGCAAAGGAGTTAGCAGGGGAGGGGATTTAAATTCAGGCTGGGTATTGTGGTAGGATGGTGGGCAATAGAGTGAGGGAAAGGGAAAGGTTAAGGAAGAGATTTAAAATCTGGATGAGGATTTGATTGGAAGGTGAGGACGGAAGTCAAGGTGCTGGTGTTGTTGGAAGGACAGTGATGGAGACATGGAGGAGGAGGAGCAAAAGGAGTAGGGCGGGGAGGTTGAGCTTGTTAAGAAGCAGTGACAAACATGTGAATAACACTATGTAACAAAATTTGAAAAAAAATCTGTTCCTAGTTCGAAAGTGTTACTCCTACTTAATTGTATGGTACTTACTTTGAAAGTAGTTGTTTTACTCTGGAATCTTTGTTTTTGTGGCTGCCACAAACTGTTGAATCGGATGAAACTCGAGATATTGATTGAAAAACCGTAGCAAAATGTGCTGCAGGATATCCTGCAAAAAACAAAGTTTTTGCAGTTTAATAAATCTTTTCCATATTTTTATGATAAAACCAATTAGGAAATGACATTTATAACCCAGGAACAAATACCTTGTTGCATAGTGTAATCGAATCCACAAAAGAGAACCCTCCAAATGTGGAGGGCTGACTGTATCTTTTATCACTCCCCTTCCCCAAACAAATGCCTTCTCTTTTGCATGCCTTATCAGTCCTGTTGTCATAGCAGCTCTTTTGTCACAGAGACTGGTTTTTCCTTGAATCAGGTACACTGGTCAAAATGTCACTCTGTACCCAAAAGTTCAAGAACATGCCACTTAAAATTTAACAGCCTTCACTGATAGCAGTAAGTCATAACCATCTTTTGAAATGCAGCGTGTGGATGGAGATCAGCTGGGCCATGTTCAACCCTTCTGTCAGATGACAGTAGCTACTTATACAGGCCGGGTAGGTTTTCTTATCCTCTGTTAATTGTCAAGTTACTTTCCTAATTCTACTCAGTTTTATTTTTCTCATGAAATCTTTTTATATAGCATCACATTTCCCAAGGCTACACAGGGTGAGGTGGGGAGGATATTTATTTAAATAGTTGTAGTCCTTTTGATCTAATGTTTAGCTTGGCTACATTATGAGTGTTACTTTTATGACCCACTACAGACTTTACGATTAAATATGACTGACTCGAATTTTTATCTGTTTCCCAATGGTTCAGGGCAGCATATATGGGAGATACCCCATTTTATCCTCAGAACAACCCTGTGCAAAGCGTCAGTAACTGCTCCAGTGCATCCAGTATAATGATTAGATATGATTAGAATCCAGGCATCCTGGTTTTAATCTTCACCGTCCTTCCATTTTAATATATTAAAGACATATATAAGAACTCTTTGATGGGAAAGTATTATAAGAAAATCTCTTTTGGGTAATTCCAGTATTCAGATGGTTGTTGTGTAGACCAGAATGAGTTATTGGGCTGGAATTCCAGCAGTCCTGACCATCCAAACTAATGGCAAAAATTACTAGAAGAAATGGTTCCAACAACATTTGGAAGGTCACACAGTTCTCACACCTGCCCTATTTCTGTTTCTAGCAACACATCTGAGTATTCTCTATGTAGAATCTGAAGTCAACTTCTTTCTCCTTTTATATGCTCCCAGCATTGTCTAATCTAGTATATGATGCCTCTGACAGTGAATTCTATAAGTCAGCTATTTCGGTTGTGAAGAGTACTTCCTTTTGTTGAATTTTATGGATAATTTCATTGGTTGAGCTTGAATCTTTATATTATGGGAGGACAAAACCTTTTTGAGCTAATCACCTTGTGTATAATTTTGGAGTTCTCTATTATGTTGCTACTTAACTTTTTTTTCTAAAACACTCTAAACAGAACCATTTTTCATTGTGGGCAAGTTTGAAAGTATTGCATTGAAAAGAGAGCTGAAAAGGTTGGGCAATGTTATAAACAAGCACATTTTTGCAGATCTCTCAAAGGTGGTGTCAGTTTAGTGCAGATAAATGCTTGGAAGCTGAAATTCTAGCTTCTCCCCGGAATGAAGGACTGTACAATGTATACCAGGGTTTCACAACTGAGGTTGCCAGGGGTCTTGTGAAAAATGTGATTGAAAACATCTTTTCCCTTTTTCTTTTTTTAAACTTTTAGATATGAAATCTAGATATAAACTTCTAGACCTGAAATTTGTTTCAATAATATTTTAGGTGTTTCACCAGAATAAAAAAAAGGCGACAAAGGCATGGTTAGATTGTGCACACTGACAGTTTTGTATAAATAATACAGTGGGTATTGTTATTTGAAGTCCTTCCCATTTTATTGGTTTACCTGAAAATTTTGGGGAGTGAAATCTCCCCAAAAATCTCAACAGGCTATAAAAATAATGATGGCAGCTATAAAGCTGAGGTGTTTAGAAATAGCAGAAGTTGAAATGAAACAAACAAGTCAGCAGAAATGAATCAGAAGTCATACAGTAATGTATTCTGGAATATTGTTTTGAAAGGATATAGCACAAGGATTTGAGCAATTTCTATATTGATGGAATTGCACAATCTTGGATTGTGTGTGTGTATGTGTGTGTATACTTTCAAATCACTTGCTGACTTAATGATCCCATGAATTTTCATAGAGTTTTCTTGGGCAAGCATGATTTTAGCAGATCTTTCTTCTGAAAAATAGCCCACGGCACCTGGTGTTCATTGGTGATCTCCTATCTAATACTATACAGGCCTGAACCTGTTTAGTTTCTAAGATCAGTGTCTTTAGTATTGTCTCTGGCTTTATTATTAGCTAGTCTAGGGAGATTAGAGATCAATACAACAACATTTAAACCAGAGTTGGATCATAGCTCAAAAATATGCAACTGTAGTGGGAACATGGGAAATTTGTTACGACTGATGGTGCGTAGAGTGGACCAAACTTGCTGCCTTAATTATCTCATTTACCCAACCTGTGTATTGTAATTAACCAGGGTGAGTATTTTTCTCTTAACACACACACCCGGTAGTGATCCCACTAAAACTTAGCCAGTTCCTTACATACACTGTAATAAAATTCACCAGTGTTTTCTTCTGGTAGGCCACACACATCATTATACTTCAGCAGGCCAGAAGTGACATATCATCCCACTCAATTTGATTTTCTCAGGGGTTTTGAAGGGATTCTGGGAGACAAACCAAGACACTTGAAACTAATTTTGGGTGTTTTCATCAGTTTTGGGCTAAAAATAAACTGAAAATTGGCCCTAAAAGGGGACTGTGAAGACTTAGAGGGATTTTCAGTAGTTTTGGGGCCAAAGCTTTGGGCTCTGAAAAGTTACATGTGGTACATGGACCTGATACATAATCTGTTAGTAATGAGATCTCAGCTTACCTAAGACTTTAAAGTCCCATATCAGTGACACCTCACCTTTGGAAACAAAGGTGAGGTGACTGTCTTGTAATCATCAGCAACCACCTTTTTGCACCAATTGAAGCATCCAAATGGTCTTTAGGGGCAACCACAGAAAGAGAAAGAGAGACAGATCAGGCCCACTTGCTTTCTTTGGGAATTTTTTGTTTCGGTGTTGCAAAAATGCAAGAGGCCCTTCAGCCCTCTGGATGATCAAGGCTGCTGAAATTCTAAGCCACTAACATCTGACTGAAGCTGGATCACCTCCTACGAATTTGTCAGTCTGTAGAGAAACTGAAGGGAGCATCTTGTAGTACAACCCCAGGCCTTAAAAGATGTCTTGTGAAATGTCCATAACAACTGGATGGCTTTTTGGGGGTGGGGTCAGGAAGAGGGAGATGTCTTTAGAATCTCCCTGGTATGACTGGCCAAACCAGGAGGCTGCTTGCAAGTAGGTCTCTGCTGGGCTCAGTTTTATATTTAGCTGAAAATTGTAGCAGTTCAACTCCCTACGCTATCAACTTACACCTTTGGAACACAACCTGCCGAACAGACCAGAAAGGAACCCCTTTGGCATGTCGATCTGGGTTGACTTGGAGGGCTGATCCTGGAGCCCCAGTCCCTTGGGAAGCTACTTTCTCAGCGGTGGATGCCTTGCTTCTCTTGAAGACTATTCCAACTAAGAGTGGCCCATCCACATGTAGAACTTGCACACTGGGGAGCAAGCTGTAACCCCAGTTGTTCTTTTGTGCCCCCGTTTGGGGGGAAGATTTGGCAGCTGTGTGGCAAGGCATGGATGGAAGCCTGGTTCTTGTAGAGGGGCGTGTGCCCCATCAGAGAAATGATATGGGATCCAAATCTTCTTCTAAGAAATCTAAAAGGGCTGTTCTTTTTTTCGAGGTGGAGATCCTGGATGGCAAGACCCGGGAAAAGCTGTGCTTTCTGGATAAGGTAAGGGCTTGAAGCTGGGAGGGCAGGGCATGAGGATGGGGCTGGCCTTTTGCCACCACAGTATTTTTATAGTTTGCTGAATAACCTTTTAAAGGGGAAGGCATTGGTATTTCCTTATGTTGTGGTAAGCCAAATGTTCATGCTTTTCTTTATGGGGAAATCTGCTACAAGCTAATATGGTCAGCTGTAGCATAAGACTCATGAAGACACACACACATATATATAGTTGTTATCAATCCTGACTTTTGGGCAAGCTGGTGAACTTTTATCTGAGAAGCAACTATTGTTTGTTGTGTTATTATAGAGGATGGTCTGTTGTAAGACATTTGATTTATAGTTCTTCCTTAATACAGTACCCAATTATTGAATTATTTGCTCCCCACATTTCACTTTTCTGATAGAGAAAAATTTTTTTTGCATCATTTCATTCATCCATTCATCATTCTCAATCCAGTGAAGTTAGAAATTGTCTCTTCTGTCAGGAAAAGCAACCTACTATGAGTCAAAAACCACATTTCTCTTTATGTATGTATATTTCTTCATTTATGATGGCTAAATTGGAAATAAAAGTTCATAATACACTTAATCCAATGATAAGAAAGTGGGAAACAAGTTTTATGTATTTATATATATATGTTGTGTGTGTGTATGTATATATATGTATATATATGTTATTAGGATATGTGATTTTTTAGGGTTAAATGTCAAATGTGTTACATTGTTTAATATTTAATAATATCAATAAGAAGATTTTTAAAAAGAAAGAGCAACCAAGAAGTCCATGTTACTAACTCTGAATTTCAACAAAAAGTCTTAATTATATCTAAAAAACCAGAAATTTTGTTTGGTATAAGCTTTTGAGGACTGAAGCTTACTGACTCATGCAATTTGGCATTATATTTAATGTGTGGTATTTCTGTTTACCTTGTCATGTATGTGCACACTTCTGCTTTGTTTTCCTGGATCAGCATTCTAGCTTATATGTTTCTGTGTAGAGCATCCCTAAAGTTCTTAGTATCTATTGGTAAGAGTTTGAGTTTTCTAGAAACCAGCAGGTGTTACATTTCTGGGTGTAAATGCTCACATCTTTAAATCCTCGCTGACAGCAGCTGCCGGGGATGGAATTCCATTGCAACTTGGGAGGCCAGGGTTGTACCTCAGGACAGGTTGTTTCAAGAAACGGAGTTTCCTTCCTTACTGAGATGATTAATCTGTCCCTGGCTTGATGGTGAATGCCACAGGAGAAAGAACTTGGCTAACTTCTCTCACTGCTGCTAAATACTCCCTTACAAGAAAGTAGAATGCATCAGGAAACATCTGCCGTTTATGAAAAAATATGATTAAGAACTAGTTACAAAAGCAAGACCTGCTGACCTTCAAATTCCAGCATCCATATTATAGCAATGTTGTCCCCTTACAGGCCAAAACAAAAAAACAAAAAACAACAATCCCAAAACATTAAAACCTCTATGTGGTTCTGTGTAATTGAGTGTGCCTGTCTTTTAGGCCATGCTTTTTGATTCCAAAATAAATGAATCAAACGTCTAGCTTTTTTCTGCTTTATCATTTTATTTACTTACTTTGTTTTTATCCCACCTTTACCGAAATATAAGAATTCAAGGCATTTATGATAAGAAAGAGCCACTCTCTAACCAGAGTACCATAATTGTTCCTGAAAGGGTATGAAACACTGACAATATCAACTTTGTGGGATCTTGAAAACACATTTTAAAGGTGGCAGAATCTTTTTTAAAAGTAATTTTTATTCATTTTACAACCATAACATAAAATCACAATACAACACAGTATTATTTATTTATCGTGTCAGGAGCAACCAGACAGTTGTATTACATTTTTAACAAAACAAACAGGCAAAACACAAAGTTTGCAAGCTTGGTAGTTGATTAAATGTCCTTTGACCAGTATCTGGCCACTTGGAGTGCCTCTGCTGTTGCTGCAAGAAGGTCCTCCATTGTGCACGTAGCAGGGCTCAGGTTGCATTTCAGCAGGTGGTCAGTGGTTTGCTCTTCTCCACACTTGCATGTCGTGGATTCCACTTTGTAGCCCCATTTCTTAAGGTTGGCTCTGCATCTTGTGGTGCCAGAGCGCAGTCTGCTCAGCGCCTTCCAAGTCGCCCAATTATATATACACTGTACTGACTGACTTCTAAAATGGAGTCTCAGTCTAGTCCCAGATCTGGTCACATGGTCTGTAGTTCTTCACACAACCTCAAACAACATAGAGTTAAAGGAAAACTGCATATCAAAATATGCATACAATATAGTAAGCAATCTGAATTATATGCATAACAAACAATTAGTGTAGGAGGCTTGTAGAAGATAAACATAAATTAGCTTACATTCGATCCCAGCATGTCATAGAGTTGTGTTGGAGGATCTAGAGATTCCTGGAGAGGTATCCTCTCTAGAAATTTGCTAAATCCTCCAACACAATTTTGTGGTAACCTCCAGGGAAAGCATATGATAGAATTGCTTGGAGGATCTAGGAGATTCCTAGAGAGCCCATTTTCCCTCAGACATGAGGCAAGTTAAACCAAGATTTGCGGAGTCTTACTGTACTTATTTTCCTCTTCTGTCCCATTGAGTGTGACAGTTAAGCTTTGTGAAAGAACAGGGCAGTCATTGTCACTATTCCCACCTGTGTTTCAATTGGTGTGGGCATTGTTCATCTTTTCAGACAAATGAGGATGCTGCACTGACAACGGAGGAAGGAGAAAAACTAAATATTCAGAGGTAATCGGAATAACATTCAAACAACATATCTCTAAAGGAAGAATCATAGCTTCCGTCCATGTCATCTGTTTCGTCAAAGCACATTCTGGCTTTAAACCTAGTAGCAACTGAGCTCATCCTCAGCATTGACCCAAGGAATGCTGCCCAAGAACATGCAGTTCTCCTTGCTGGACATCAACCATTTGGACTGTCCTTTACTTAGGGTACTTAATTCATAATCCCTCCATTCAGTTAGGTATAGCATTCAAGAACAGTAATAACTCTGAAATACTAAGAGGGCAACACTAATTTGTATGTTTTTTTACTTAGTGTCAGAACAGGATATTATATATATGTGTGTGTGTGTGTGTGTATATATATATATATATATAATTGTATACTGAGCATACATTAAAATAAATCCAACCATTGCATATACATATAACTTCCTTTATATTCTGATACTTTGTGTCTTTTTTACACTAAGAGTTCTAGGGCTTGAAAGCAAATACTGAGGTTTTCTGTGCTCTATAACTAATTCTTAGCTTCACAGCCTCTGTCCATTAGAGTTTGCTTGTCATTCTGTAAAGTTTGGCAGCAGATCTATGCTGTCTGGCCCAGAGGCTTATAAAATGACCACCGAGGTGCTAACTGTCTGTCATGTGAGAAGGATCTTATTTGCAATGGAGTCATCTTGCTGACTTGTAAATTTCATTAGCTTGGCTCCTCTTAATCTCACACAAACATTTGGGTTTTCTAGTTTGTCAACAATACTGTTGAGAACCGTATGCCTTGCTGTGCTGCAGGCTCCCCTGCACTGTCTGAACAGTGTCATGCTGTTAAACCCAGTGCTGCTTTGGCAGGTCAGCCTTTTTCAGTTTGTTTTGGATCGGAGACCATGCCTTGTAAGGTGGAAGAGAACCGTACTTCCCCCGAGGGAGCTGCTGATCAGTTGCCTTGGACACCCAACACCTCCATCTGCTTGAGTTGGCCATGGTGCCAGTGGTGGGCACACCCTCCTGAAATGTCAGCAATCCCTCCTTCACCTCCGTCAGTGCTTTGAATGCCAGAGGCATTCTTCACAGTGAGGGGAGGGAAACACAGTGTTTGTTGTGAGTTGAGTTGAGCTCCTTCCTAGAATAGGAAGGAAGAAACGATACTCATATGGAGAATGCAAAGGAGTCACTTTTGCCTTTAATAAACTTGAAGTTTAATCTGCACATGATTCAAAATTCTGGGTTTAGAGTCAAAAAATAAAAGAGGCCTCGTGGGCCATTGAGTCCAACTCCCTGCTCAATTCAGGATCTCTAGCAAAAACCTCTCCAGCAGATCAGTTTTTTCAAGATATCCAGAGAATGAAACCTCACCATCTCATCTCTCTAGGCAATTGCAAAATTTCTCTCACTGTCAAGATGTTCCTTCTAATGTTCAACTAAGGTTTACATGTAACTTCAAACTATTGAACATAGTTCTACTCACTGGCACAGTAGGGAACAGGTCTGTCCCCTCCTCTTTGCGGCAGCCCTTGAGGTATTTAAAGCCATGACATCTCTTCACCATGCTGAACATGCCCAATTCCATCAACATTTCCTTATATGTGTTGTTCTCCATACCTAATACCATCCTCGTGGTCCTCCTCTGAATTTGTGCCAACTTGTGTGTATCCTTTTTAAAGGACCAGAATTGAACATAGTGCTCCAGTTGAGGCCTAATGAGCACAGAATATAGCAAGACTATTACTTCCCTTCACCTGGAAACTATGCTTCCATTGATCCAGGCCAAAATAGCACTTGCCTTCTTTATTGCAGCATCACACAACTGGCTTATGTTAAATTTATGATCAACAATAAGCCCAAGATCTTTTTCACATGTAGTATTGCTGAGTAATGTATATTTTTCATCCTATACCTATGTGTTTGGTTTTCGTGACCTAAATGTAGAATTCTGCATTTCTGACCAATTTTTTCTTTTTCGTCTAGATGCTTTTACATTTTGTTTCTATCTTCCTGCCCAGTTTTGTGTTATCTGCAAATTAGATAAGGATCTCCTCCACCCCATCATTTAAATTGTTGATAAAAATGTTGAAGAGGAAAGGCCCTAGGAGAGAACCTAGAAGTACTCAACTCCTGCCAGTTAGAACCAGAGGCCAATGATTATTGCTGTATGCGCTTGAGTATAAGCTGAGTTTTTCAGCCCCTTTTTTAGGCTGAAAAAGCCCCCTCCCCGGCTTTTATACTCTGTTATTATTATTATTATTTGAAACACAAAAAGATTAGTACACAGCAAACAAGATAACTATGTTGGCTGATGTATTAGATCACACGTTGGACACTTCCCAAGTGTTGATGACTGTGTGATGTATCAGCGAATAATGCGTGCAGATCCCAGTAGGGTGGCCTTTTGCAGTTTACAGATGGTAATTCTGTCAGTGCCGATTGTGTTTAAGTGCAGGCCAAGGTCTTTACTCTATTATTGTTGTTATTACATTTCCATTATTTTACTCTGATATTATTATATTTATTATTTTACTCTATTATTAATGTTATTATTACATTTCCATTATTATTATTATTATTATTATTATTATTATTATTATTATTATTTTGGTAGACAGTTTGGGAGTAAATTAATGGAATTGGGCCAGAAGATAAAGGCTTGAATGAGACCAAATAATTTCTGAGAGACTTGGGCCGTTGGAGCCACAGACCAGCCTGCTTGTTTAGCTGTAACCCAAGACCTGGGTTGTGCTTCCCAGGTTGTGTTGCTTTTTCAGGCTATTAGAGGTGCTGATCCTTGCTTGGCACCTGTCTGGGAATCTTCATACATTCCTGTTACTTTGATTTGAAGATGGAGTAGTGCTCCTTCAAGCTCATGGCTCAGCTGTCTGCAGGAAAGGTCCAATGGATTCCTCTAGCAACAACTTTGTTGCCGATAGGGTGGTTGTGTAGCTTAGGGATTGCCTTCTTCTGTTTCATGTTGTGCTGTCCAGCATGTGAATGAAGGGCTGTTGGGGCTGGAAATGTCATTTTGGAAAGGAGTCATTTAGTACCTTTGAGACTAAGTATAATAAGTTTGCAGCATACGTTATTAGGCTCCTTCATAAGATGCAACAACTTTTGTGTAGAAGTAGACAGAATTGACGGAGTCTACAAATGCTTACCTCGCAACCACCTTTCACCCAATTTGTTTTTAAGATGCTAGAAGACTAACATGGCTTCATCTTTGAATTTTACAAAATGGACATGGGGATAATATCTTAACTCTTTTAACAGAGTTTTTTGAGTTTGATAAATCCTGGTATAATGATCACATTGCTACTGGTTTTGCAGAGTAAATGGTTTAGAGATTCTGTTAGGCTTGATTTTGAATATTAATGATCCAGTGCCATATATACCCGGGGGGGGGGGGGAGGAGAAATAGCATCTTCGATTTGTCCAGAACTGCCCCCTTTCTTAATGATGGCTTTATATAATTTTAAAATGTTTATGATCTGATAATTTGTAAAACAGAATTAGAACAGATTGTGAGAACTGGGAATATAGTTATACACTTCCTTGGTGAGCTGTGCACATTTATCACTGGAGGTTCTAATGAGTCTCCCTTCTGGCTTTTGAAGAAACTGGCTCTGTGATAAGTAACAATGCCTCTGGTGGTGCCCGCTTATTTCACTATGAATCTAGATAGGCTCCTCCAGCCTTGCAAACTTTATCATGGATAAGTGAGGGACTCCTCCCTGGCATGTGATTGTCAAGCTACAGTACTTGACTATGCCCCCCGCTTCCTGAAGCAATGATTGGGGTTTTGCGGACATACACTCCATGATGACTGCCACTGCTACTGTGCCCAGGTGATAAGGTCAGACTGTCATGGTTTACTGTCTGGGTTCCTTTCTCAGAAATGTTAACTTTCTTCTCCAGGCAGGGAAAAGGTCAGTGCAGCCATATTATTAATTTCCCTTGGTAGAGTATGAACTTTTGTCCCCCAATACATTTCACTTGGGTGAGCCAGTGGAGATTGATATCACTTTGGGTCTGTTATCTTTTAGCTGTAAGGACCACTTTCTTTTTCTCAGTTGCTTGTGAGTGTCTGTCCCAAGAAAAGTTGATTGTGCCTCTTGTCCTTTCCAGTTATCTCTGTGAGCATTAGGTTGCGTGTTTTTGCCCCCTTTCCCATACCACTATATGTATATGTGTGTTGTAGTCTATTAAAATGGTAGCATAAAAGGGTTCATCACTTTCTTGGAGGGATACCTAGGGAATTGATGTAAGAAGGCTGATGCTGCTGGAGTCACTGGGGCAGATAGAGTGTATTCATTCATGAGCAGTCCTCGGTTGCCACTGGAAGCTTCCCCAAGGAGGCAAGGAGCATGTCTCTTGTGTCCCACCATTTTATCTTATCTAATTGGGTGTTTTTTGCACACGTCGGGGACTGTTCTGTTCTTAATGGTCGGATCTCTCCAGTCTTAGTACAATGTGACAAACTATGGGATGTTTCAGCTTGGGGCCACTTCAAGCTTGTTCATTTGGATTGGAGGCTGATTGGCTTGAGGTGGGCCTCAAATTGGTCCAGACTTCACAAGCATGCATGTAGAATGCAGTGCTTGGTTCCCTGATCTCATTTGTCTGTTTGCTTTTCAGGTAGAGCCAAATGCCACCATAGCAGAAATCAAGAACCTCTTCCATAAAAATCGTATGTATGGAATAAGTAAAAACAAATAAGTCCTTTGTTGGTTTTTGTTGGATTAGAGATAGATTTCTAGGGTGTTAGTCCCTTCTTTTGGAAAGGTGAAGCCTGATTCAATTAAGAATCAAGCCTGCTTCAGCAGAGTATGCAAGTGAGTGTGTTGAATCTTTGGTGATTTTTCTAATACTGTCTTCAGCAGAATAAAGCCCATAAGCAGCATACAAATTATCTAACTTCTAAACAGTCAGTAATTGTTTACATATAAATGTACATTAAGAACATGTATACATGCATTGCCCAGCCCTGGCTGCCTCAAGGAAAGTTTCAAGTAAAGCAGAGCTGGCAACCATCATCCTGAGGGGAGGAAGATGAAAGAGAGCACTAATAAAATATTGGTCCCAGACACATCTGGAAAGTTCTCTGGTCACAGGGTGTGGTTGCTCAGATATGTGGATGACCATACATTGCAACTGAGAAAAGATTTAGAGACAGTACAGATAGAGTAAAGGTGTGTAGGACACATATACCGCCTAAAGCCCCATCGCTCTCATAAAGAGAATGCTTAGTTGGGTAATACTTTCCAGCTGTTTTGTCTATTATTGTACTGTGCCTGGCCTCTGATGACAAAACAGAAGACTGAAGAAGCAGAGAAGCTGACTTTATGAATACAATTAATCTTTGGAAACCTTTATCACTGTCAATTAAAACAACATATCCTTGAAAAATATTACCATCACAAACTTTCATTAATTGTAACAGATTTCTGAAGAGTCATTTGCTTCTAATTCTTTTTTCTCTTTGATTTGAGAAAATGGAAAGCTTGTATGGGTTATTAGCCTTCTTTCCTCTTCCACATATTGGCTTCTTTTTAAATTTGGGATATATGTTTTCAGACCAAGATCAGTTTCTTTCCAATGTTGTAGGATATGGAGAAATCTGAAGCAGTTATATGATCAAAGCATAACAATACACATAACATTAAAAAGCAAATCAAAACGTTAAGCAATAACAGTAAGCAATAAAAACCATACACCATAACACAATAAAACTAGGGCCGGGCCAAATGTAATGGGTACAGATTAAAAAGTGCTAAGTATGACAGATGAAATATAGGATTTTAGGGTAAGTGCAATGTGCAGACAATCTTAAATCTCTGATAAAGTGCTTCTGGGACATATTGCTGGAGTTTCCTATATAGATGTATACAGGTTGGGTATTTCTTGTCCAAAATACTTGGCACAAAAAGTGTTTTGGATTTGGGAATTTCTATTCTATGTGGTTCAAGAAGAAAAATGTTTCTTGTTACTCCTCTCTCTTGTCAAATCTTACTTTATAGAAATAAAACAAAGACATTTGAGACTAGAAAGGGGTAGGCAATAGAGGGTACACTTAAAAACTCAAGCCCGGCAATATAGCAAATTCATACATTCCTAAGCATATTATATTGCTCCTAGTTGCATGTTGTAGAAACCTGCTGGCGTAGGTTTCAAGGAATGGGAGATGCTGCTGGAAACAGTTACCCTAGAATTCTATTTCCTAGAACAAGGGAGAAATGTGTTCCCTAGATCTGGCCTTACTCAGGGTCTGGCCACAACATTTTGGACCCACTGAAATTCCCAAGTTTCCAAATGCTTTATTATAGGAGGACTCTCTTATATTGCATGTGCCTAAGAAAGACTTCTCCCTTGGGTCCTGGGGAAATCTCGATGGCAGATAGACTGGATGATACAAAACAGCTTCTTTCTTTTCCCCCCCAGACCCTCAGTGGTATCCAGCACGGCAGTCTCTACGACTCGATCCCAGTAAGTTGATGTATCATAAAGTACTCTACTACCCACTTTTCAGGGTAACTTTTTTGACTATATATAAGCAGGCTGGTAGTAGAGTGTTGAGCCTTAGAATGGATGATGTAGCTGTGACCTGGAAATCTATGCATGTGGGAATTCACACGCGAGTCCTTATGAAGGGCTTTGCAAACCTACAAGGAGTAGGTATTTCTGGAAGACCAGATTGCATGGATTAGTGAAAGCTTAGTTGATGTCTCCACCACTATCATCCCATACCCAGTTTGAATGCTAAGTTTTTCTCCTGTGTAACCAAAGAGGTAGCTGATCTTCCCAACCACAGTGCCTGAGACAACTTCATCTTCATTGTGACTTTTCTTTTTTTGCCAGAGGGGAAGTCTCTCAAGGATGAAGACATCCTTCAGAACTTGCCTGTGGGCACCACCGCAACCATATATTTCCGAGACTTGGGAGCACAGATCAGCTGGGTGACAGTGAGTGTACTCCTTCCTTCCTTCCCTGAGAGAATTCCATCTCCACTTGAGTCCTTGATTTTCTCAGCCTTCCTCATCCTGCTTCTCTTCCTTTCAGGTCTTCCTCACAGAGTATGCTGGACCACTACTGATCTATTTGCTCTTTTACTTCCGGGTGCCCTTCATCTATGGTCGGAAATATGACTTCACTTCCAGCAAGTACTCTGTTGTACAGTAAGTATCTATAGGCTAAGCTCTTTTTTCTTTTGCTCTTGGTCTTTTGCTTGAAGTGGAATATTGGCCACTTGCTTAGATGGGAACTTGGGTAATATAAAGAAAGGGCAATCAATAAAACATTTTGTTTTTCTTCCCTGGTTGGAATAGCCTCTGTTCTTAGTATGAGAGCAGTCCCTGTTCCACAGTTAGGCACTCCCAGAAGCAGTGTGGAAAAGGAATGACTGTGCTGAGCAGCATAACTGTAAACCAAGAGGCAGTGTAATGCAGTTGCTAGAGCAGGTTTGGGAAAACTTTGACCCTCCAAGACTTCAACTCTTAGAAATCCCAGCTAGCTTACCAGCTGTTAGGAATTGTGGGAGTTGAAGTCCAAAACACCTGGAGGGCCAAAGTTTGCCTAGGCCTGGTCTTTAGTGATGGATTTGCATTTGAGGATCCCATTTTCAGTTCTCCATTGAACCATGAGGCCCACAGGGTGATCTTAGGCCAATAGATTTAGCATAGTCTGTTTAGAATCTTTGGTTTAGGCTAATACCTTGGGTGATTTTATGAACTTTATTATAACAGTACTAGTTCAGTGTCTTAAAGCTGCTTAAGGAAGATTTCCACAAAACATGAAATTTCTTAAAAGAGAGTGGGTTGCCACCTTCCTTCCAAATGCTTCACCTCAAATATGGCAGGAGGATATCTGTGTTTCTCTGGTAGGTTGTGCTGCTGTAGCAATCTCTTCTTCCAACCTTCTCTGTTTTCTTCCCAGCCTGGCCTGCATCTGCCACTCTTTCCACTACATCAAGCGCCTCCTGGAGACTCTCTTCGTTCATAGGTTCTCCCATGGGACGATGCCCTTGCGTAACATCTTCAAGGTAAGTAGGACTGGAGCTGAGCCCAAGAAAGGAGGGAATGAGGAAGGGCAAGTTTAGGTGTTTAAAGGAGCGTTCTGATACCCTACTTGCTCTCTTCAAGTAGCAAACCATACTGCCCTTCTTTGTAGGACTAAGGAGAAGGACTGTTTGAAGTCTTCTAAGGACCTGACAGCAGCTTCATTGAGAAGCCATTTTAAAGCAATATTTCTTTTTTCTTTTTCTTTCTTTTCTTTTCTTTTTTTCATTTTTTTTTTTTTTGCAGAATTGTACTTACTACTGGGGATTTGCTGCCTGGATGGCATATTATATCAACCACCCTTTGTATACTCCGCCTGGTGAGTTGAGAAAAGAAGCCAAAGCCCAGGGTCTTCATGGGCAGTGCTGACCAGAGAGTCCAAGCCAGAGAAGCCAAATATTTTGTTTGCATGTCTGTGTAAATTTTTTACAAATCACTTTTCTTCCCACCAAGGGCCTCCAGGGCAGCGTGCAATGAAATCAGAATATAGAAACAAAACAGAAACAAAATATTATTTTAAAACACGTTATTTAAACTAATTTTTAAAAGCTTGTAAAGAAGTATGGAGCTGACCGGAATACCTATTATGACATTCAGTTATTTTATTCCCCTTGCCTTTTAATTTACCAAACAGAGTTTCTTTGTAGGAGCTTTGGTTGTGGCATGGCAGGGAGTGTGTTATTTATTTATTTATTTATTTATTTATTTACTTACTTACTGTATTTGTATACCACCTTTCTCAGCCAATTGGCGACTCAAGGCGGTTTCCAACAAATCAGTATGCATAAAACATAATATAGATAAAAAACATTAAACAGCATAAGACATCACAAAAGCAATAAACACAACATCATCAGCGTCTCATTATTCTCAAGCATTGTCCAATTCCATTGTCAGGTCATTCGATTTCCTATATTAGCTACTCTGTATTTGTAAATGCTTGCTCGAATAGCCACGTTTTAACTTGCCTCCGAAACGTCAAGAGGGAGGGAGCAGATCTGATCTCCCTAGGGAGGGCGTTCCATAGCCGAGGGGCCACCACTGAGATTGTTGGCAGAAGCTGATTGTTACCCAATCAGATGCTAATGCGTCACTTCACCATTTCATTGGAATGGGTAATAGCTCTTTATATTCTTTGAGACTGGGTTATGTAGAAATATGATGGACATATGAATTAGCAGCCTCTATCTGCTTAAAATAAAACTCTGGGCTTTATTACTATAAAGATAGGCGTGAAACAATATAGGCAGTTTCAAGTTATTTTGATATTTTAAATAAGTTATTAATTCTGTTCATGCTTTATTCTATGCATTGTGAAGACCTTTGGCTCTGTATAACAAAGTTTAAGAAGCAGTGCTTTACACAATAAAATATTCAGCTAGAACAATATGACATAAGGAGAATCCATATGCTCACCACCTGTAGTGGTGGGTCTGCAATGTCTCTTTTTTCTCCCTTTCCAAGATTCCTGAACTAACTGCATGTGAGCTAATATTTTTGGCTTTGTCTTCCCTCTAACATACTTTTGCCTCGCATGTGGCTGCAATAATTCAGTTTGAAAATTGTGTAGCCAGTCAGATGTTGCTAGACTGCATCTCCAAGCAGCCTTAGCTGGCATAGACAATGGTGAAGAATGCCAAAAGCTAGAATTCAGCAATTTCTATCATGTATGATGCTGCATGTTATCCCTTCCACTGCTCCGGATGTACATTTCCAATGAAGAAGCAAATGAAGAGCTACACCTCTCCTTTTTCTATTTTGTGTAATGGCTTTAGTGTCAAACTACTAGGAGTGAAGAGGTTCAAATCCTGTTTCAGCTCTTTGATTTACTGACTGACCCAGGACCAATCGTAATGTTTCATCATTTCCTGCATCACAGTATTATTTTGAGGATAAAAAAGAGTGAGGAAAAAACATTTATATTTATTGATCTCCTTAGAGGAAAATAAATATATTGTCTCCAAATTGCCCTGTATTTGAGGACTTAGTGAGTGGTCACTCTAGCACTTTATGAGGACATATATTGTACGTAGCCACTATTTTATACTTTGCTGAGTTTTTAAGTCTTATTAATTGATAGGGGTTTTTATCACTATTTTATGTGTAATGGGATTAATTTTATTGTTATTAATTTTACCTTTTTGTATTTTGTTGTATTTGTATTGTGTTGCACTATTTAGTGTGTCCTGTGATCCTCCCCGAGTCCCGGGGAGATGGCGGCGGGATACAAATAAAATTATTATAATTATTATATTACTATAAATCTTAATATTAAAGTACTAGCCTATTAAGCAAGTTTTATACAGTCTATCTGTTTGTAGATGTAATGGTTTTAGATGTCATGCACATATCCAGTTGGATGTCCATTAGTTTTCATTAGTATGTCAGATTTCCTGTATTTTTAAGCACATTTCTATTTTTTACTGTCTTCATTGGCTTCTAACTAATGGAAAACTGAACCTTTCCCTTGATTTTTAAGAGGCTACTACATACCCAGTTCTAAACATCCTTTTATGATTTGTTACTTATCTCAGACATTTAGTTAATAAGAAAAAGATTTGATAATAAAGTGGGATTAAAAGCATTGGTACTTTCACAGTAATTAAGATATGTTTCCCCTTTATTTCTTTTTCTCTGTTATAAACATCAGCTTGATCACAGTTTCACAAACCCAGCTACATAACTGCTGTCACAAGTTTTCCCCTCTAGAGAATTAATCTTAGTTCTGTTCTCACTGTGGGAACTATTGTTTGTAGAGATATATTAATTTTTTCCTATTGTTAATGTTACCTTAACATGATAATATTTCTTTTTTTTCTCCCATCTCTCCTTGCCTCTTCTCCCCCCCTCCCCCGATCAGCATATGGACATGAACAAGTAAAACTGGCACTTATTTTATTCCTGGTATGAATTTATTACATTTTTGAGATTGGGCATATAGGGTTGAAGGGCTGGTGGAGGCTGCAGAAGGAAACAGGGAAGAAGACTGTGAAGATGTAGTAGGCTGTGGCAGGTGGCAACGGGCTGTCACGCAGCTATGAAAATGTTCTTTGTGCTGAATTGCAACTGTGCCAAGGGCCTGGCCTGTTTGTGCCACCCTGTGCAAGTCTCCGGGAGGCGAATGCAAGATCTTGCATAAAATACATGGATTCCCCATAGAAAAAGAGCTGAGGTTGCTTGTAGGATCCTTTGGGGGCAGGGAGGAGCAAGTTGGATTGGGATTTTTTAAGGTATCATGGGCAAAATCTGAACTAGGTCAGAACTCAGTACTGGGACTGAAAGTTATATGGTGACTGAAAAATGCTCAGTGTGGCAATGGGTGCTCAAGTAACTCAAGTGATAAATTTCTTCCTTTCATATGTGAAAGACCAGGGCAGTGGCACTGTTAGTGGTTTTCTAAGAACACAGCATATTAAAATACTTTAATGAATGAGAAGACTAGTATGAATAGAAAAGCTGGGCAGGCCTGGCAGAAGGCAGTCAAAATCAGAGGATGCTGCGAATTGGGGTTGCAGGGCAAAACATAACAGAACCAGAGGCTTCTGTCTGTGAGAACCAGATAAGGTTTGGATTTGATGGAGATAAGGTTTTGAGAGAGAGAAGGAACAGGTGGCATAGAGACAAGATAATCAGAGAAATGGGAGAATTGCCTGTACGTTTAGGGAACTGTGATTGAGAGTTCAAGGGCTAATTTATTTATTTTTGAAGTGTCTTTATAGACTTCAACTTTTTTATCACTGCCTGTTCATATTAAGTTTGGTAGAGGCTAGTTATGCCAAGCACAGTGAACTCATGGTAACAACACAGTCAAAGGTCCATATGCAAGGGAGCACTCTGAGGCTCAAACACCAAATCTGGGAAGGTATTACAGGGGGAACAAAGGCAAGATGAGTGACAGGATTTCAAAAGTTGGAACTGTGGATTTGTTGCAATAGGTTCCCACCAACTATGGATTTGTTGCAACAGGTTCCCACCATAAGGGACTTAAAATTTAAACCAGACACAGAAGCAAAGAAAGATGAGTGGAGGTGAAGTGACTATGTGATAATTTCAGTTTTGTGTACCTCAGCTTATTTACAGGAGAATATTGGGTCCAAGAAGTGGTGGTTTCTCTTTATCCCCGCTTCTTTGCTTTGAAACAAGGCTTCCCTGTTCAGAGGTGTAGCTGCCTATTTCTTGCCAGGGCCCAGCTGTGGAAGTGTTGATGTGGCAGTTGTAGAAAGGGAGGTCAGAATTTAGCAGTGAGAGAACAGGATTCCTCTTTGCCCTGGATTGTTCAAATCACTATTTCTCCTTCCAGAGTACTTCCAGTGTTAAAAAAGAGCTTTACATCCTTGATAAAAATTATCTACAGGTTTTGAGTAGACTTAATGGAAAAATCTAGCTTGGGGTGATAGGAGATGCTTGGCTCCTGTTATGTTGGACTCACTGGCTCTGTTTCTTCTTGCAGTTTTGTCAAGTGGGAAATTTCTCAATCCATATTGCTTTACGAAACCTGCGCCCCGCTGGTGAGTAAAGAAGAGAAGGGTTATGGGAAGTTGGCTTCTAGGCTATATAAGAAGCCAAGTAACAGGAAAAGGCCCCCCAGGTCTGTCTTATAGGTAGCAATTAAAAAGATACACGGCTTAAGAGACAGGGCTGGACAGATGCTCCACATCTGACTGTCAGTTGGAAAAAAGTTAGCATTTGTATAATTCATTCTTGTTATGCTCTTGGGGTTTGCAGTGTCTATATGGTATATTTTACAAAGTTTTGGAGCAAAAATAGGAGCAGCAGGAGGAGGTGTGATAACAAGGCAAGTAAGCATTCATGTTGGGTTTGAAGAACAACCAAGAGGAACGTGGAAATGTATAGGTTGGATGTAGCATTCAAATATTCTTTTGTTCGTCTGTCTTTATTAGAGGTTCTCTTCTTGCTTATCCCCATAACATTTCTTGAGGCTGTGAAGGCTGCAGATGATACAATCACAAATGCAATATAGGCACATGCCATACAGAGCTTTTTAATCATGCTGATATATTTTTAGCTTTCTGAATTTCATTTGTAAGTGTATATTGCATGTGTATGTGTGTGTGTATGTGTTTATGGACCCTTGAGCTGCTGCTGGAAGTCATATAGTCTAATTGCATATAGGTTGGGACAGAAATTATACCTCAAACATCTAAAAGAGCCCTTTCTCTGACCATCTCCTGGGCTGTGACCAAATTACTCACAATTTAGTAGTAGTAGCCTACTGTCTGTGGTCATGTTTGTTTCAAAGGAAATGTGTAACTGAACTATGGGAAGTGTGTCTAAAGATAATATCAGTTTCTCTTTGAGCACCCTGTCAGGAAGAAATATCTTTGCTGAGCAGGCTAGTCTGACCCAATAGCTCCCTAGTTTACTATAAATTCTGTGCCTTCAGTACTACACAGTACATGTAAAGACTGTATGAAAGACGTGTGTGTGACTAGATTGGTAATGCTAAACTATGAGTTAGTGCTTTGCGCTAAAGCTCTGGAATGAGATCAGGTGAAGTCTTGGCTTCCATATTCCCTGTCTTCTCATCTTGCCTGGCTGGGAGAGTGACATTTACAGCTGTCCACTTTTACACAATTACTAATGAAGCCGTGTTCATGTTTAGAAAACAAGCCCTGCATCGTTTTTTGGGGGAAAAGTCAGATTTTGATTATGCAGCTTGATAACTAAGAAGAGGTGGTAATGTGGAATCTGCAGACTTGGACAAACACAGCCCAGATGCATAGACCCAAAGTGTGGCTTAATGTTATTTGTAATTTACCTGCTGTCTTTGTGCAATCTAATTCTTCTTAATGCCTTGCAGGTTCAAAGACCAGAAAGATCCCATATCCTACCAAGAATCCTTTTACATGGCTTTTCTTGTTCATCTCTTGCCCTAATTATACCTATGAGGTGAGAATCAGAACCTTGTCAAAGATTGAAAAAGTTGGGCTATGGAAGGCCTTTCCTTGCCTTGGTGTCTGCTTCTTGTTCTGTGCTCTTTTCCATATGAAGTATGCCGTGTAAGAACAGGTAGATTTTTGAGCATGATGCAATTCTCCTCTCTTTAAACTGTGAAGAAGTAGCCAAGGAGTCTTGCATGGTGGATTCTTACTGACCCACAGCTCAGAAACACACAGCTTCGTTGTAGGAGTCTTACTCTTCTTGGCTGCTGCAATGCTTAGTTAGAGATTTCCTTCTTTTTCAGGTGGGATCCTGGATTGGCTTTGCTATCATGACTCAGTGCCTTCCAGGTAAGTCTGTATATCTGTCCTATTTTATGTCATGACCTGCTGTCCAGTGAAATTGTACATCAAGGAACTCCTTGAAAGAGGCTTTCTAGAGGTTTTGATGCTCACTCCATGCATATGGGGAGTCTCTTGGTTATTTCTGGTTACTGCGTGATCAGAAATAAGCAGAGCCTCTGTTGGGTGGGACTAAATCCAGCAGTGGAAGCATAATCCATTTCACCCCTTTTTTCTGTTACTTTTTTCCTCTTTCTCCCTGCTCAGCACATGGTTAGGAAAAGGTCTTTTGGCTCTTGCTTGAGATCTGAACCAGGGGCTGTAGTGGGATAGCAAACTCATTATGTTATTGTCACTCCTCATGTAGCTGTTCAGATTGGAGTGGCCGCAAGGGGTGTGACAGTATTGCACCACTGATCCAGAATTCCTGTTCTGCTCAAAACCAGTGCTAAAGAGTGATGGTAAAATGATGTGTACTCTCTGCTTCTGTGACGAGATTTCACTAGTCATTTGCAGAGAGCTTTTGAAATGCCGCCAAGAACCCTAGGTTACCCATTCCATTCTAATCTAAATGAAGCTGCTGTCTCAAAAGTGCAGAAGTTGTTGGGTGGCTTGACTGAAAGACCAGCAGAATTTTATCTGATGTTCCCTATAATCTTATACAGTTCATATTTCTGTAATCCCACCATTGCGGTTGGGGAAGGAAGTAGAAAGCACATTTCTAGACATCTAATGCCATATATTACTCCTTTTTCTGCTTAACAGTGGCTCTGTTCTCCCTGGTTGGATTTATCCAAATGACCATCTGGGCAAAAGGAAAACACCGAAGTTATCTGAAGGAGTTCCGGGATTATCCGCCACTGCGTTCACCTATTATCCCTTTCCTGCTCTGAGCTGGAGGCAGCCACCTCTAGGTCTGGGCTGGCAGGCTTTTTAAAAACCTTGTGAGCAGCTGTTTTTGGAGTCTAAAAGCAGGGTTGTCTCTTGCTGTCTGCACTACGATCTGAATGAAACTGTAGGGATTCCTTGCTTCTGTAGGTTACTTGCCCCGCTTCCCAATCCTGTCCCCAGTATCTTCCTCCATATCCCATTCCAGAACATCTCTGAGCTTGGAATCCCCCTTTTCCTACAAGATTGCATGGAGCCAAATGCTGCAGCAGAGAAGAAATAACAATCAAATTGTACCAAAAGTGGTGCCACTGAAACAGCTGCCAGGCATTATAGTTGCAAGAGCCAATGCCAAAAACAGAATCTAGGCTTAGAACCTCACTCAAAGGCAAAAATTGTTTTCCCACTCTTATCTACTTCAGAAAACAAGGGCTAGCTCTACTGCTCAATGACATTTTGGAGACTTCCTGCCACTTAGCCCTCCCTGGTGTGCCCTCTAATGCCAGGTTCTGGTATGGCATAAACCTGGTTTCCCTTTCTGTAATGCTTCCCCATTAAAAAAATCTGTTAAGATACTTAATGAAATGAGTAGGAACTGATAAGGACTTCTTGAGGTCGTCTTCAAATCTTATATAGCATGGCCTTGTGTACCCTTTGGCCCCTTCTCAGCCAATAGGAACTTGTGTTTGAGGCCTATATTTTTAAACCTATGGAATAAGTAATGCCAGTGTTCTTCCAAGGCCAACAGTGCAGTTGTGGCTACCTATTGTGGTAAACTTGTGTTATGGTTCTGCATGAGTTAACAGGACAAAACTGGCATGATGCAAGAGCAACTTGGGGTCTTCTATAGGTTGCCACCACATAGTCTTAATCACAAATGCCTCCCCCTTCCACTATAGTGATTTGTGTCTTAGTCACACTGAGCAGCCCTGATTTCTGATTCCTGTGCCCAAGTGCAGCAGGAAGTTCTTCTCCAAGTTTTCTCTTCTATGGGAGATGGTAAAATAGATTCTTTATCCTTAAAGGGAGATCATCAAAAGTGGTCTTTGAAAAGCCTGGCTTTCCTGCAAAGCTTGCTGTCTATTCCACTGTCAGCCACTTCCAAGCATTTAGATCTGGCTTACTTCAGTATTTGCTGCAGTATGATAGGACTATTGTCGAAAGCTCTATCTACAACTGCACTGAGAAACTCTTGGAGAAAGGACTGCTTTGAAACAAACCTTTTAGCCATTTCTTGTTCATGGAGAAGAAAAGAAAGACCTACATTCTCGCTATAAGGAAAATTAAGTGTTATAGAAATGAAGCTTGTCTGACAGTCTTCTTGTCAGGGCTTTCTTTTCTCCTGTTTGTCTTAATGTTGTTAAGGTTATGATCCTACATGTAGTTGGGAATCAGCACTACTTACCTCAATAGGGCTTATTTCTAAGTAAATACGCCTAGGATCAAGTTGAAAGTTTGCAATAGTCTTAGCGAATGCTGCATGTGAGCAGTAAGATACTGGAAACCTGCTAGGCTCCATGGCAGCTGTTTAAGATGAGCCACCTGACTATCTGTATGTTTCATGTGGAACTGTCTTCTTGAAACTATGCCAATAAAAATAATCCAGCCGCTGGGCAGTGTCAAACTTTACTACTGTTTAGTATGGCAGAACTATTTGCAGAAGGACTTGCAGGCACTGAACCACAGAACTTCTGTTAATATCGAGATTATCTCCTCTAGAACACAAGAACAATAGGCATTCAAAAATATTTTGGGAAAGAAGATGCCTATGGAGGACAAGAGCCACTGCTCACAAGAGCAACAGGCATCAAAAATGCTAAAAAGCAGAACCCAGAAAGGACAATTACACAGTCTTGATAAACTTCACTCCTCACAATTAATTACATAAATGGGGTGGATTTAGGAGTGGAAGAGCCATAAAGCCAGGGAGTCTGTCCTGGGGATATAGGCTTTCATACGCATTTACACCTCTTCCAGAGTCATGCTTTTTGAATCATGTGGGGAGCTTACACAAGTTCCCTGTGTGAGAAATGATTAAACAAAGTATGGAGAGTGAGCATTCCCTAATCATCCCCTCACTTTATCTATAAATACAAGTCTTAGTACAGTTCAATGCATTCTGAAAATTTAAGTTGTAAAATCATGGGAATGGCTAGGTTGTGTCAGATAAACATTACTTAATAGCAGTTGAATGATAATTGTATTGCTAAGTGGCAACTTAGCAACGCAACTTCAGCCATAGTGGTTAACAAGAAACTGAAAGAAAACTCAAGTTGTAAACAGGGATGGTTAAAATAATACCATCAATACAGGTGTTCTGTTTGGTTACTTCCACAGGACAGGCTTACAGAAGATATGTGGGTTTCAAAAAGCCACTGAAGATGAAATTTTATCACATTATCATCACAATCTATGGATTTCACATATTATTTATGTACTAGTGGAAAGGCCTTTATTGAAAGCTAGATATTACTGAAGATTAAGGTGCAAAAATCAACCATCCCCTCAAATTTAAACAAAACATATGCAAAAGCACTTGAGGCATGGGATCGTCCTGGGGGAAAAAAGGCTAAACTCCAGTTTTGGCATGTTCCAAAGGCTTTCAGTTGAGATCATCATCAAAAGGCTCATTTTTGGTTGCCAATTCTGTGTTCTAGATCCACTGTAAGATAACCAACTGTAAGGGATCCTACTACACAGGAGAGTTTCATGAAGTTGTTTCACCCTTCTGCCTCTCCCATCCAGGAAAGGCAGCTATGGTTTCAGTTCAGTGGTGGGTGGGCTTCTTACTCTTCTCAGGGGCACCGATGCCAACTCACACCTGCTTTTCTCATTGAGAAGGGAATGGCATGATGGAGGGAAAGAATAGTTGCTCTGCCCTTTCCATTCCAAAATTAATTCTGATCAGCCAGAATTAAAAGATGGTTGGCAAGATGAAGGATGTGCCCCCATTTTTCCTCCTCTAGCAAACTGTATGTACTCTTAGCCCATGAAACAACAAGAGTGAGCATGATTCTATTGGGAAGAACTCTGCAGAGAAGGATTAGAAATATGGCAACCTGGGCATCTAAACAAGTAACTCTAAAGTCTGTAAAGATCAAATATGGATCTGTCTTGGAACTATTCCGATGGGTTCTGCACTTAGGAGCTATTCGACATAAGTCAAAGCAAAGGATTGAACCAAGGCTGGACAGCAAAAAATTGTACAGTACAGGTGCCACAAAGTCTGACTATTTTAGGCTGGGCCTGGGAAAGTGCCCCCACTTCACTGGTGTTAAAGGCTTCACACCCTGTCCTAAGGGTACTCTCTGCCTTTGATCCTGCCTATGTAACACCAGTCTAACCACATGGGGTGGAGCAACAGTTCCTTGCTTTGTAGAACAACGCACATAACATCAAACTGAAAAGCAGTTGCTATCAGCAGCTAAAATAAGGCTGCTTATTCAGTTCAATTGTAGATTACCAATAGCATTCAAGGAAAGAGTGACTGACATAAGCAGTGCATTCTCTGTTCCCCATTTTAAACTAGCCAATGCTTCCAACAACCGACAAAAGGAACAATCACTCCCCCATTACAGGAGTGGGAGATCTGTGGCCCTCCAAATGTTGAGCTGTAGCTCCTATCATTCCTGACCATTGGTTATCCTGGCTGGGCTTGATGGGAATCCAATCTATGGTATTTATTGCCCTATTAGAAAGATGGTTATATGATGATGGCACTCTCATTTGAACACAGAACTGGACTCATTTCCTTCTAGAGCTAGAAGTAAAACTTGGGGCTTTTGAGAACACAGGTGCATCTACTTAGTGCTACTGCTCAAGTCCTAGCCTTGTCTCTTCATTATCTAAACTTCAATGATTGCTTCAAGCTAAGCCATAAGATAATGTCTTTATTATGATCAGCATAACAAACCACACAAGATTCCACAAATGGGGCCTGGAGACCCACTGAAGCCACTTAGGTGGCGGCTGCTTCTGCTCTTTGCTTCTCTTCAATTCGCTTCTTCCTAGTTAACAAACGCCGCTCACGTTCAAATTCCTTCATGCGCATAACGTAGCTGTGGGAAAGGATACAAGTGTATGTTAGTTCAGAGCAACCAACCCCATTTTCTGATGACATGCTAGCATCCCCAGGCCAGAAGAGTCTAGCTGATTTATATTAACCCTATACTTTCTTTTGTCTGGAATTGAGGCACAATTTTAGCAATTGTGTGGCGATCCACCATATGTTCTTATTCTCAAGCCTTCTGCTGATTTGAGGCCCCCTTATTTTTCCCTCTTTTTCATAAAAATGAGGAAAGAGGGCCATTTCAGATATGTCTGTTTAGGACTCCTTTGCCTGTGCAAAGGCTTATTTATGGGCTATCCTTTCTCTAATGGGACAGAGATGCTCCAAAGCCAAACCAAAGTTCACAAGGCATTAAGGAATCAGAACTACAGAACACCATATCAGATTTCGTCCCTATCCGCATCATGGAGGTTATGACACACACCTTCACTTCACACATACTTCTTCACAGTTTTCTATTATGTTATTGATAGAGGTGGAATTTTGTTTGCTGACTATTACACAAATGTATGTTTCAAGGACCTAAAAATCAGCCTTCCAAAACAATGCACCCAAGGCATGCAGGGCCAGCTGTAGATAGACTGGGTAATAGTCATGCTGACTAGGGTTGAAATCCAACAAATCTGGAGCACACTTGGGTTGGGTGTACATCATTCTAGACCAGGGGTCCTCAAACTAAGGCCCGGGAGCCGGATACGACCCTCCAAGGTCATTTACCTGGCCCTCGCTCAGGGTCAACTTAAGTCTGAAATGACTTGAAAGTAAACAATAACAACAACAACAATCCTATCTCATCAGCCAAAAGCAGGCTCACACTTCCCACTGAAATACTAATAAGTTTATATTTGTTAAAATTGTTGTTCATTTTAATTATTGTATTGTTTTTAAGTGTTTTTTGCACTACAAATAAGATGTGTGCAGTATGCACAGGAATTCATTCATGTTTTTTCAAATTATAATCCGGCCCTCCAACAGTTTGAGGGACTGTGACCTGGCCCTCTCTTCAAAAAGTTTGTGGACCTCTGTTCTAGACCATCTCCAAGTACAACCCGGGAGGTTTTCTGAGCTACAGCTAACAGAGAGAGTAAAGAAGAAAATGCAAAGATTGGAATAAAAAAAGAAACCTTGCTCTAACTTACTCTAGATGTTCACAATAGTCCCAGTCATGACGTTCATGTGCACACCCAAAGATATTAGGGAATTTGTCACGTTTGCACTTCATCAGTTTAATAAGATAATGCGCACAATAATCACGCTGATCCAGAGGAATCTGAGCATCGTTCATCTGCTCCTGCGTTGCTATCATCACTATATGGGAAAACAGAAGGGAAGGAATGGAGAGAAGAAAGATTGACATCAAAGTAAAGTTCTTCTACACTAGTCAATTTGAAAACCTCTACTGTACTACTGATAGGAATATGTTAGTGAGTTATGACATCTGCACTGGTTTAGCTGACCTGTTCTGAAAAACAGCTAAGTGGAAACCAAAGCTGTTGAGGATCAATCCATGCCCTCCCAAGATATGAATGCAGGTTACAGTTATAAGTAACAGCACACCACTGAAGTAATTTATGTGTTTAATATTGTTGTGCTAGTGAATCTGCCGGTTAGGATATGCATTATGACTATGGTGTTTGATTCCATGCTCAGCTAAAAAAGAAAACTGTTGAAGGGGGCAGATACTCAACAGCAAGTTCCAAGAGTGTGCTCCTTTTAATAGAAAAGCAGCAGAAGTGTTTGTGTAATGGTTTTTAAGCCTTTTGTATTATAGATTGATTTAGTATATTTGGTGCCAATCTATGCTGTAAGCCTCCTTGGGAGAAAGGAAGAATATAAATAAGATATACTAATTCTTAACAAAATGTGCTGGTTTAAAAGGCAAGTATTCCAGTCGCGGCATATCAACAATCAATATTGGTCTATACTATCTTTATTGTAAAACATTTTCAGTCTGCATCCTAGTATTGACTGACACCATGTAACAGCAATAACAACACAAAAGTACAGAACTCTCCCAGCCAGCTCTTAACCATTTGAGGCCTGCATTTAGATACTTAGAAGTGTGACCTGGAGGACAGTGTTCAGTCCTGGCAGGAGTAGAAATAGGGAGGCCATGAATTAAAGAAACCACTTGCTAGATGCTCCTGAGATTTGTGTTACAGAATAGATTTTTACAGTCTTCTGTATCCATGGCTTAAAAACATTTTTAAAAAGGTTTTATATAGGTAAAGGTTAAGGTTTTCCCTTGACCTTAAGTCTAGCTGAATCCTACTCTGGGGGGTGACGCTCATCTCCATTTCACCTCCAAGGTCATGTGGCCAGCATGACTGCATGGTGTGTCATTACCTTCCCGCTAAAGCGGTACCTATTGGTCAACTCACATTTGCATGTTTTCGAACTTCTAAGTTGGAAACAACTGGGGCTAACACCAGGAGCTCACCCCACTCTGTGGACTCGAACCACCAATCTTTCAGTCAGCAAGTTGAGGAGCTCAGTGGTTTAACCCGCTGCACCACCAGGGCCTCCATCATTTTATATAAGGGACACCATTATTCAGTTTCACTGTGTACAAAAGGATACAAAGGGATGCAGCCAAACTCCAGTGGATATCAAGGGCCCACTGTACATGGCATCCAAGACCCAGGCTTTAAAATATTTCCTTTAGTACTTATTCCACATGCCTACGGAGGTTAAAGATGCATAGGCCCACCACACTACGCCCATTTTGAGATGACAAGCGCCTCCTCCAAGAGAAATGTACTACTACATCTTTAGGTCGAAGGAACGGGCGAAGATTTGAAACTAGGCTATTTCCATCTCTAATCCAGTGACTCCCAAACGCCAGGTATTTTGGACTTCAATCACCAGCAGCCCAACTTTGGCCAATGGCCAGGGATTCTGGGAGCTGAAGTCCAAAACTCTGCCCGAGGGTTGGAAACTTGGCCCTCTTGATGAGGCATCCTGGAACTGCAGCCCTCCAGCAGTTTGGGCCTCCAACTCCCAGAAGGCCTAACGAGCTTGTTCAGTTGTCAGGAATTCTGGGAGTTGAAGGCCCAAACAGCTGGAAGACCGCAGTTTGAGGGTGCCTGACCTTGATGGTGCAGGGGGAAAGGATGCATCTACACTGTAGAAGGAATGCAGTTGGGCACTGCTTGAGCTGCCTAGGCGTTGTCGTTTCAGAAGCTCTTAGGCCGCCCCTGCCAAGGGCTGGGTGACCTTCCCTTCCCCTCCTCCTCCTCACCGCGTTCCTTGCGCTCGGGGAAGCCGAAGGTGGGCTCGAAGGTGGGCATCCGAAGCGGGTCGGGCTCCACCTCCGCGTCCCACAGGTAGCGCCGGGCCAAGTGCGCCCCCATCGCCGCCGCTTCGCCCCGCTCGGCCCAGTCCCTGGGGCACCGAGACCCACTTCCGCCCTTTGCTCCTCCCCTCCACTTCCTTCCCGCCCGGAACCGGAAGGAGCCTCTTGGAACGAGGGCCGCTCTTGTCCACCTCTATGGTAGAGATGCAATAGAGTCGGGCACAGAGAGAATTCGTGATGCCTCTGCGTGCAGATGGAAGACAGTGCTTTCACCGCCATGGGTCAACACGATGGAGTCATGGGAGCTGTAGTTTCATGAAGCACCAGCACACTTTGTGGAGCCCCCGGTGGCGCAGTGGGTTAAGCTCTGTCAGCTCCAGCTGCCCATGCGGGGACACGAGGGAAGCCTCCCACAAGGATGGTAAAACATCAAAACATCCGGGCGTCCCCTGAGTAACGTTCTTGCAGACGGCCAATTCTCTCACACCAAAAGCGACTTGCAGTTTCTCAAGTCGCTCTTGACACGGAAAAAAAGCGCACACTTTGTAAAAGAATTCTAAAGACTGTATTAAACTGGAGCTCAAAGCAGGCATGTAGCCAGGGGGAGGGCTTGAGGGCCTTCAGCCCCCCCCCCCCCGAAATTCTCATGGTGGTTCGCGAAAAGGCCTTACTGGTGCATTATTTGAACTGTTATGTTTATTCATATGATGATCTGATCACCATGCTCAATATATCCCATATGCATGGGGGTATTGGGGTAATGATACAAAAGGTTTGCTAGGGTAGACCCTCTTTCACTCAGACTCAGCCCCCCCGAAACTCCCCCCGAAACCCCCCCTGAAAAAACTCAGCCCCCCCCCCCAAAAAATCGAAATCCTGGCTACGGGCCTGGCTCAAAGGACTCCATAATACTCAGACATGGCAGTTAAAGAGGGCCCAAACTGGCACAATTGTACTTTGCAGATGCACCTTATAGATTATAGAAACCTACAGGTTGATCTTAGGCGAATCGCACCCTTAGGGAGAAGCTACACTATGGAATGAATGCAGCTTGACACCACTTGAACTGCTGCAGCTGAGTGCCTGGGAGACCTGCAAGTTATAGTTTGGAGGGACACAAGCATCCTTTGGCTAGGAATGCTAAAGGCCTTGTAAAAACCACAAGTCCCAGGATGCCGTAGCAGTTCAAGCGGTGTCGAGTTGCATTCTTTCCTCAGTGTAGATGCAGCCTCCGAAGAAGGCAAGAGCAACCCCCACCAAACAAAGCTTGCAAGAAAAGGTTTGCCTTGAAATGGACATGGGTTGGAAATGACTTGAACGCACACAAGAACAGAAATATAATGAGCAGAGGCAGTGTGGTTTGACGGTTGAATTCGGCCTGGATTCAAATATCTGTTTAGTCATGGAAATTCACTGGGAGACTTAGGTCAGGTCACACTCTCCTAGCCTCAGAGGGAGGCAATGAACCCCCTCCCCCTCCCCTCCACACTGTGAACCAGGCTTGACAAGGAATCGGTAAGTTGGAAAGGAACTGAAAGCTCACAACAAACCCATGTAAGAGTTAAAACTGGAAAGCACGCCTGCTTTTGTTATTGTTCATTCATTCAGTCGTTTCCGACTCTTCGTGACTTCATGGACCAGCCCACGCCAGAGCTCCCTGTCGGCCGTACCTCCCCCAGCTCCTTCAGAGTCAAGCCAGTCACTTCAAGGATGCCATCCATCCATCTTGCCCTTGGTCTTCCTTTTTACTTCCATTTTCCCCAGCATCATTGTCTTCTCTAAGCTTTCCTGTCTTCTCATGATGTGGCCAAAGTACTTCATCTTGGCCTCTAATATCCTTCCCTCCAATGAGCAGTCGGGCTTTATTTCCTGGAGGATGGACTGGTTGGATCTTCTGGTGGTCCAAGGCACTCCCAAAACTTTCCTCCAACACCACAGTTCAAAAGCATCTATCTTCCTTCGCTCAGCTTTCCCTATGGCCCAGCTCTCACATCGGTACATTACTATGGGGAATACCATTGCTTTAACTATGCGGATCTTGGTTGCCAGTGTGATGTCTCTACTCTTCACGCCCCTGCTTTTACTGGCTTCATAAATGAGGTGTTGCTAATTAGTCTAACCCAATAAAAAGCAGCGACCAATGTGTGTGTCAGTCTCACTTCATATGGCCACTATGCTTCCATAGTATAAGTAGAGCAGAGTGTCACTTGTCTCTTGTGTGTCTGTGGCAAAAGTCCTCTTTTCTTTAACTGTTTGGGTTCAGCGGCTGCAGAATGTTGGCCTTCACCAATGAGCTTTGGTGACATACTCAAAATGACAGGGAGAGAGGGGCAAAAGGGACGCCCTTAGGCATAACGTATTTCACACAGTGCTAAAAGGTATATATTGGGCATCTGTTTGAAAACTAGTTTTCAAGAACACATTCCTTTTATTATATATGCATCTTGTATATGCATGCGATACATGCATTTTATTTATTTAGGGCATTTATATCCTGTCCTATCTCACCTCCGCAGAAGGACTCAGGGCGGCTAACAACCAGCACAGCACAGTGCCCACAAATTCTTTTACTATATATGCATCTTTATCATAAAAATCTACATCTCCCATCAATCTATATTTTTTTCAAAAAATGCCTATAAATTTCTTTTCAATGGTAGGGATTTTCACAATGGTAAATGCTTAAAGTTTCCCCACCACGAAATGCATATCCTCCAGCTGCACCAGTTTGACTGGGATGATTCCCTGTCATACTTTCTCAGATGCTTTTTTACTTCAGTCGCTGCAAACCTTTGCTTAAAATGGTAACTGTGGGTGCTGTTCCCTCTCTTCTTGTTACCTGGCCACACTATTTCTGATGCAACTCGGCTACAGAAGTCACAGATTTCTAATGTTGGAGAGTATGCAAATGCTGCCGATGTAGAAGATACAAACAGCCACAGATGTGCTGCATTTGGGATAAGAAGAAAGAGAAAAATGTACCACATATGTTGTAATATGTGTGCGTGTGCATGCTTTCAAGTCACCTGTTGGCATATGGCAGTCCCATTAATTCCCTTGGGTTTTCTTAATGCTATATTATAGTGTGTAGTATTCACAATGACTCAGACATATATATTAGCTATTCTGATTTTTGCTTCAACATTAAAATGTGAACAGAGCACTATAAAGGAGCTATGAGATTCGTATGTACAGTGGCTCCTGTCAGTACTGCAGACTTGTTTGAAGGTGAAGAAGCGGATCCATAGCAGTGCCTTGTACATGGTTGCTATTACAGTGATTTAAGAAATCACCTTAAACCACCTTAAAGCAACAGATGAAACCACCCTAGGGGGAAGTAAGCAAGTCCATCCAGAGTGAGGTAACAAGGTTATGAGCCTTATCTAAAAAGGTTTGGTGGTAAAGTTATTTTATAAGGAGCACTGACATAAAATAGAAGCAGTTTAATTTGTGAAAGGCTGAGTAACTGAAGATCTGAGGTGTTTTCAATGGTGAGCAGTAGATAAGGATTCAACATATCAATATCATGCATTGTGGTAGTAGCAGCCCAGAGATGTTTAATAATAATCTTCAACCACCCAAATCTGCAGCTATTTAAGAAATATCCAGCCAAACCACAAGAAAGGAACTACATGGAACAAACATAAAATATAGGGAAACGTACTGCTTATTTTCTTAATTGAGGGCACTTTTCTCACACACAAAATGGACATTTTTATCACATGGAATGTCATTCCAGTTTTTCTCTTTGTACAGGACAGCACAGTTTTCCACATTACCAGCATTATTGGGTTCACCATGCCTCCAGTATCTGAGAAAGAGAAGGAGCATAAAACAGGGTGTTGAAAACCCACCATCAGGAGCCTTCCTGAATTCACTTATCACCTTCTCCATTGATGGGCTGCCTGTGATCAAATCTTTTTTCATAATCCAAACCATAGCATGCCCCAGAGAGTCATGCACAAGTCTGCATTAATCAAACAACCTGGGGAAAAGTATGAATTAAACAGGAAAAGACTCAAACTGGTAACCCCAAATGTTGTGATAGAATATAAATTGTTAAACAACACATTACAGAATTGTTTACACCTCCCTTGAAAAAAGGTGCAAAAAAAATGGTGGCTGTGGGAAGCCACTTAGAAAGCAAACTAGATCCTAGTCCCTTACAGGCCACAGCCACAATAAGGACCCCATGCAAACGTTGCCAGCATCTTCTTTCTTCTCACTCATACTCATGGGATTAACCTATAGTAGCAATGGCTCCACACTGGGTCATGAGCAAAGCAGACATGAAAAACTTTCTCTGAGTGTACCCAATACCCTTTGAAAGGTATCTTAAATCAGTCACTATATTGTTTGCTATCTACTATATCGTGTTTGAAGAATGATTATTTTGGTCTGTTGTGATCTCCCACCATTCAGCTTCAGTTGATGATTCTGGGGTCTACTATTTATTTCATGTGAGGAGCGACTTGAGAAACTGCAAGTCGTTTCTGTAATGAGAGAATTAGCTGTCTGCAAGGACGTTGCCCAGGGGACACCAGGATGTTTTGATATTTTACCATCCTTGTGGGAGGCTTCTCTCATGTCCCCGCATGGGGAGCTGCAGCTGACTGAGGGAGCTCATCCACGCCCCCCCTTGATTCAAACCTGCGACCTGTCGGTCTTCAGTCCTGCCAGCAGAATGGTTTAACCCACTGTGCCACTATTGTAAAAGTGAAAGGAGGAAAACACTCTGTCTGTTTTATCCATACCATACAAAGTTACATGTGTCTCTGTCATATTCTCCTTTAAATGTATTTGTTCCATGCAAAGACCTAGAGTTTGCAAAGACCCAGATCCTCTGAAGATGCCAGCCACAAATGCCGGCAAATTGTCAGGAGAAAATGCTACTAGAACACAGCCATATACCACTGGAAACCACACAACACCACAGTGATTCCGGTTGTGAAAGCCTTCGACAATACTTTGTGACTTTTCCTCATAGGAGAACTGATTGTGTAGATGACACCTACAGATGTGGTAACTGGAGCTGAACACCGAGTATAATTACTTGTAGATTTTTTTTCCTGGAAAATACTTATTTGGTTCAGTAGAAATTTGGCCAAAGTTGTATTTTGCTGCTACATGGTTTTGGAAGGTATTTTAGTAGGTTTATTTTAATCAGCTTCGAGTTATAAATTGTTTATTTTAGACATTCTTTGTTTTGGTATATACAGCAGCATCTATAACTCTTTTTTGTTGTAATTTGTTGTCATGAATTGTGCAAATAAAAATACAAGTGCTTCTGTGCTTCAGAAAGACCGAAACCTCAGGTTAAACAGTTCCAGGTATCCCTCTAGGCAATGTTCTTCTAGCCACTAACCCAACAATGTCCCGGCCCCCTTTTCTCCTTTGCCTTTGTCCTCATAAAGGGCCCTAGGAAGAAAACAAAGGAATGGTTCACATACCTATTGTGTTCTTGTAGTAGTGATCCATCAACCCAGCGCCAAGTTCTCTCTATCTCTGTATCACTTAGGCCAAGCCAGACTGAACTTTGCTTTATTTTTCGAACCACAAAATCCTAGGAGGGAAAACAACAACATTGTATATTCTGAGATGCTAAGCATGTGAAAACAGAAGCCCACCTAATGTAACATCTTACAGGATGAATTGCTTTTTATAGCTGTAGGCTGATGAGGATCTCTGGGTGCACTTGTACTGTAAAATTAATGCAGTTTAACATCATTTTAACTGCCATTGTTCAGTGCTGTGGGATCATGGGAATTTTACAAGGTTTTTACCCTTCTCTGCTCTAAGGTGCTTGTACTTCACCAAACTACAAATCCCAGAGTTCTATGGCATTGAATCATAGAGTTGGAAGACACCTCATGGGCCATCCAGCCCAACCTCCTGCCAAGGCAGTTAAAGTATTGTCAAGCTTTATTAATTCTACAGTACAGATGCACCCTCTGACTATTTTCATGTGCTGCAGTCCAGGTTTGGCTTCCAAAGCTGCCTGATATCACTCAATTGTGATCTCAAGCAAGACCAATCTATCCTGTTCCTAGAAGGCTACCTGGTTAAAAGTAGATCATGAAACATAGGCAGGAGGGCAAAGATGGTGGCTAGCATGCAAACCTGGCAGATACACTTCCTCTCATTTCCTTTAGAAGTAAAAGAAGGCAATAATATATAGGGATAAAATATTAACTGTTGGTTTTGGCAATAGTCAGGATTATCTAAGTAGTAGAAATTATCTAAGTAGTAGAAATTTCAACTTGCATAGGATGCTGCCACGGCATTTCAAGAGGAATCATAGCATAGAATCATAGAATCAAAGAGTAGGAAGAGACCTCATGGGCCATCCAGTCCAACCCCCTGCCAAGAAGCAGGAATATTGCATTCAAATCACCCCTGACAGATGGCCATCCAGCCTCTGTTTAAAAGCTTCCAAAGAAGGAGCCTCCACCACACTCCGGGGCACAGAGTTCCACTGCTGAACGGCTCTCACAGTCAGGAAGTTCTTCCTCATGTTCAGATGGAATCTCCTCTCTTGTAGTTTGAAGCCATTGTTCCGCGTCCTAGTCTCCAAGGAAGCAGAAAACAAGCTTGCTCCCTCCTCCCTGTGGCTTCCTCTCACATATTTATACATGGCTATCATATGTCCTCTCAGCCTTCTCTTCTTCAGGCTAAACATGCCCAGCTCCTTAAGCCGCTCCTCATAGGGCTTGTTCTCCAGACCCTTGATCATTTTAGTCGCCCTCCTCTGGACACATTCCAGCTTGTCAATATCTCTCTTGAATTGTGGTGCCCAGAATTGGACACAATATTCCAGGTGTGGTCTAACCAAAGCAGAATAGAGGGGTAGCATTACTTCCCTAGATCTAGACACTATGCTCCTATTGATGCAGGCCAAAATCCCATTGGCTTTTTTTGCCACCACATCACATTGTTGGCTCATGTTTAACTTGTTGTCCACGAGGACTCCAAGATCTTTTTCACACGTACTGCTCTCGAGCCAGGCATTGTCCCCCATTCTGTATCTTTGCATTTCGTTTTTCCTGCCAAAGTGGAGTATCTTGCATTTGTCCCCGTTGAACTTCATTTTGTTAGTTTTGGCCCATCTCTCTAATCTGTCAAGATCGTTTTGAATCCTGCTCCTGTCCTCTGGAGTATTGGCTATCCCTCCCAATTTGGTGTTGTCTGCAAACTTAATGATCATGCCTTCTAACCCTTCATCTAAGTCGTTAATAAAGATGTTGAACAGGACCGGGCCCAGGACGGAACCCTGGCACTCCGCTCGTCACTTCTTTCCAGGATGAAGAGGAAGCATTGGGGAGAATCACCCTCTGGGTTCGTCCATTTAACCAATTACAGATCCACCTCACCGTAGTTTTGCCTAGCCCACATTGGACTAGTTTCCTTGCCAGAAGGTCATGGGGGACCATGTCGAAGGCCTTACTGAAATCCAGGTACGCTACATCCACGGCATTCCCCGCATCTACCCAGCTTGTAACTCTATCGAAAAAAGAGATCAGATTAGTCTGGCATGACTTGTTTTTGATAAATCCATGTTGACTATTAGCGATGACCGCATTTGTTTCTAAGTGTTTGCAGACCACTTCCTTAACAATCTTTTCCAGAATCTTGCCTGGTATCGATGTGAGGCTGACCGGACGGTAGTTGTTTGGGTCATCCTTTTTTCCCTTCTTGAAGATTGGGACCACATTGGCCCTCCCCAATCTGCTGGAACTTCTCCCGTTCTCCAAGAACTCTCAAAGATGGTTGCCAATGGTTCCGAAATGACTTCTGCTAGTTCCTTCAGTACTCTTGGGTGTAGTTGATCTGGCCCTGGGGACTTGAACTCATTTAGAGTGGCCAGGTATTCCTGGATGACTTGTTTCCCAATTTGGGGTTGGGTGTCCTCTAATCCCTCATCCACTCCATCTTGCTGAGGTAGCATCATAACAATGTGTTTTTTGAAGGATCCCATTGTGTACTTTCCATCTCAGTGCTGTGTAGTTTGGGAAAAAGTGCAATTGTAGCAGGATCCCAGCCTTAAATATTTGACTCAATTGTATCACATGTTCTATTAGATAAATAGATGATAATTAGATAGATAGATAGATAGATAGATAGATAGATAGATAGATAGACAGACAGACACACAGGCAGAAATACACATAATTACAAATTTCAACCCATGCATGTCTTCTCAGAAAATGGGAAAGCATTCCCAGGCTGGATATGATTTCAGATTAATGGAATGAAGGTATGAAAATTTTTTAATACTTGGGTGTCTTTTCTTGGGTGTCTATGCACAGGTAGGCAGGCAAGTAGTGGAATAGGGAGCTGGAATTCTTTCAAAAACTTGCAGAACTAGAAACAAAAGATGACTACATTAAACAGGGTTTGTACACTGTGAGGCGCCATTTACCTGCTCTGTCCTGCTGTTTATAATGATCAGATAGGAGTTAGCTGCAGCACATAATTTTTTGGCCTCTTCCCAGTGTTCTGCAGTATCTGAGAAATAGTAGTAACTGTCTCCAGATTTTTCCCATTGCAGAGGTTTGGGTGTGGGGCAAACAACTGAAAGAGGGTAAAGTAACATAGTGAATCTTAGTCATCTTTATCAGTGCTTCCCAGGCTGTCTGATGATGGGGACCAGCATTATTTGGTCTAATGGGGGGTATAATTGTTTCTTTCTTCCCTGGAAACTCCAGGCAACAGCAGTCAATGGTTTAGGGACCACCACTTTGCATTGTTCCGATGTTATATCATACGTTCCACCAATTACTTTGTCAAAGAACTGGTGTCCTGCAATAACAAAAACACCCCCCCCCCCCCTAAAATGGTATTTATATGTTTCACACACCGTAATTATCCAGGTAGGCCTTTAAACCAAGACATATTGGTTTCTAGGTAGAAACAGAATGGAAAGAACAGGTCTAATTTCCCCCAAAAAGAATATCGGTTCCAATATTTCAGCAAACGTTTAATTCAAAATGAATGATATGCACATGTGAAATGGGACGAAAAGCAAGTTAGATAAGCCTTGAATAAGTAGAAGAATATATTTTTAAGCTTCTACAGACCACCTGAAGTTTTCTACTAAGATGCATTTAGGAACAACACTTTTAAATTCTATGAATTCACATTTTAAAATGCATGCACACACAAATATGTTGGTTCTGGGGAATAGTACACTTTCCTGCTTGCCTTAATCTAATCTAAAAAATACTATCTTCCCAAAAAGTTGACTTTTTACAAAATATAAATTATTTGAAAGGCAAAATGCTCAAATAAAAGACTATGAGGAAGAACTTCCTGACTGTGAGAGCCGTTCAGCAGTGGAACTCTCTGCCCCGGAGTGTGGTGGAGGCTCCTTCTTTGGAAGCTTTTGAACAGAGGCTGGATGGCCATCTGTCAGGGGTGATTTGAATGCTTCTGGGCAGGGGGTTGGACTGGATGGCCCATGAGGTCTCTTCCAACTCTTTGATTCTATGATTCTATGATTATCACCTGACAGTAAGTGACAGTAATAAAACCACTGATCAAAAGGTTGGCGGTTCGAATCTGGGGAGCGGTGTGAGCTCCCATCTGTCAGCTCCAGCTCCCCGTGCAGGAGCCATTTTTTCCAAATTTAGTAGAGGATGTGTTAAGCAGTGTTATCTCTATGTAGGGAAAATACGGAACCAAGTTCTTAAATGACCTGCACCCCCCCCCCCCAATGTATGTTTAAAGCAAAAGAATGTGTGATTTTGGCATGCATGTCCAGCAGAAATGTGACTGGAGGATTTGGGTTGTTGTTTTTTTTTTTTTTAAAAAAATGTGCTCTTAAAAACGTTTCTTTCATTTCTGTCTTGTTCTTTCTCATACTTAACCTTGTCTGTTTTTCATTGCACTCAGTTCTTCATCTAGTCTGGATATTTCTCCCTCCATTTTTCTACCACTTGCTTCATACTTCTGATCAATATAATTTTCTAAAGTTCTGAACTTTGCTATAAATGTGCTCTTTAATTCTTCAATATTCAGAAGGGCTATTGAAGGTTCACAGATTTCAGTTGTGGGAGTGAAATTCATCTTCCTGAACTCTGAAAACATGGCAGCATCTGGAAAGGAAAGGGACAGATGATACTATCAACAAGGCGATCAAGGTTTATTGCAACTATTAAGTAGTTTATTTACATTATTTACACAAGGATCGATAAAGCACATAGTTTAAGCAAACATGTCCGTACTGATTCAGGAACATCGTTGTAAAGATGGCAATTGCAGTCTCTCTTATCAGTCAAAGACACGCCTCTAAAATTTCGATGTGATGATTCAAGTCCATTCCATCAGAAGAAGCATAAAACATTTTTACTGTCCCTTCTAGGAAAAACTTAAACTTCTGTGGTCTGTTAACTCTACACATGCTAGATAGCTTTATAAACACATAGGCAGTTTTAAAAACACACACTATTAAATCTCCCAATTAATCAAACACAGTTCAACAGTTACCATCCTCTTGATCCTATTACTCCTTTGAGAAAATTTTCCTGCTTCTTGGCAGAGGGTTGGACTGGATGGCCCATGAGGTCTCTTCCAACTCTATACTTCTGTGATCGGAAATGTTGAGATATATGATTACAACACAAGCTGAATTGAAACAGAGAAGCCCCAATTCAGCTTGCTCTTCATATCCATGAATTCTGTATCCTTAAAGTCAATTATCCATGGCTTGAAAATATTATTTCTAAAATTCCAAAAAGCAAACCATGATTTTGCCATTATATACAAGGAAGGCCATTTTACTAAACCATTGTATACAATTGGATTTGAGCACCTATGGATTTTTGCATTCACGAGGGTGAGGGAAACCAAGCCTCAGTGTATACCTAGGGCTCACTATAATAAAATATTATATATGGGGGCGATGCTTCCCAGTTATCCCATTATTCAGCCAGTTAGCTGAAGCAAACACCGTAATTGACCTGTTGTTTACCAGAAGCATTGTAGTGGGGCCAGAGTTCACATGATGAAATTCCTAAGTTAATTTGAACAGTGGGTACCCCCTCAAACTTGTCCTTCCCCTCTCGCTTTCATTATAATTCTTGGAAGGGAAATGGATTAGCCCAGTAAGAATATAATATTACAAGTTATCCCAGTTGTAGTCAAAAGTAGTTTGGAATGGTTTCATTGTGCATGAGAAAATCCATTAGAGAAAAATAAAAAAACAACTAGTGGAGATAAGCATTTCTAGAAAAAAAATTAAAGGACACTTGCATTTCTAGAATATTGTTATAGTTATTTGTGAGTTGGACTATGATCCTGGAGACCAGGTTTTAAATCCTTGTGCAGTTATAGAAACTCACTGGGTCCATGGGTAAGTCACACAAAGGCAAACCTCATCTGAACCAACCTTGGGAAAAAAAAGTGATAGGGTTTGCCTTAGAACTGTCATAAGTTGGAAATGACTCAAGGTCACATAAAAAAAAACTACAATGGCCAATCGAATTATCACAAGAAGGGCCTGCACATCAAAATGTACACTTAACTTACTGCAGTGGTTCTCAACCTGTGGGTCCCCAGATGTTTTGGCTTCAACTCCCAGAAATCCTAACAGCAGGTAAACTGGCTGAGATTTCTGGGAGTTGTTGGTCAAAAACACCTGGAGACCCACAGGTTGAGAACCACTGCCTTATTGTCAAAGTGATCAGATCCCTTTTTGGTATAATTTTTGACACCTAGAGATGAACAAACTGGTAAAAGCGAGAAGTAAGTTAAATATTGAGCTCATTTGCTCTTACTCATCCTTTCCCAGGTTTGCTTGCTTGTTCTATTGCTGTTAACACACTCTTTTCTGTCTTAAAATTAAAAATTTCATATTATGTCACTGAAATGTACTATCAGATTGCTTAACCCTGCTGTTTGTACTCACGTTGTGAGAGGAGAATCATGTCCATTACGAGACAGCCAACAACAAGAGCCAAGACCACAAGTATGCCATTTCTCCTCCAAAAGCCTTTCCAGGAGGCAGGAGTGAAGGCCGGCTCAGCTACAAGGGGAAGGAAGAATATTTGAATTAGTCATGGTCTGAATACCTTAAAGGCACCCAATTCCCTCTGATCTGGGAAACTAGGGTCAACCCTTAATAGTACTTGAATGGGAAACTGCCAACAAATACCAGGCATTGTCGGCTACTTTCAAAGGAAGGAATTGCCAAATCTGACATAAACTGATGGGTGACTGGTTGGATAGATGACAACTCCATGGGGGAAAATATGCATGGCATTAATCTATATGTGATGGGGATGTAGGATGTGTGACCCTGCAGATGTTAATCTGCAGCTTCTATGATATCCAGATATTGGTTAAGGGTGTTGGGAGTTGCCATCCAACAAGATTTGGAGAGCTATTTAGAAAATTTGAGAATTTATATGGAGAATGTATATATAGAGAATTTGAAGAGTCATGAATGGAGGGCGAAAGAGAGAAATGTGCCAAGCCAACCCTGACTGGGATCGCCTTCCACCTGGAAACCAATGCCCTCACTGCAGGAGAAGATGCAGATCAAGAATTGGGCTCCACAGTCACTTATGGATCCACCGCCAGTACACTGATCCTGGAAGACTATCCTACTCGGACAACAAGGGATCACCTAAGTAAGGAAGGAAGGCTGTACACTATAGTCTTCCTGTATGCAGAACAGGCAGTAGAGGGCAGCAGTGCTCAAGCAACAAAGTATCTGATCTCTTCATACCTGTAAAAGAGTTAACACCAGGGCTTGGATGTTCTGCTTGTGTCTTTGGCTTCTCCCTTTCAGAAGAAAATGGGATCCTGCCATAGCTGCTTCCTTCATCAAAGCTTTCATAGTCATCTGAATAGGGGAAAGGGAAAAGTTTAGTGTGGTCTTGGACCTTATCACATTAGGAAATACTCAATTTTCGAGACTGTTTGAGAATGATCTCGAATGGGTCCCATCACATGACGTTTGCCCCATCCCGTCAGTATTCTGTTGGAATCCGTCTGCAAAGCATTGCAGAAACTGATTATTTGCAGACAGAATTCTTATCGGTCATGGTCTAAATACCTTAAAGGTATTTAGGGTTTAACCCCTTGTTAAGCTGGCTTATACTGATCACCCAATTCCCTCTGATCTGGGAAACTAGGGTCAACCCTCAATACTACTGAGTCCCCTTGTGGTCATAAGGGGGGGGGGTTCAAATAAAGTTTATTATTATTTATTTAAGTTTATTATTCTTCTGTTGCCGAAGCACTGTTTTTGTGTATGATAAGAAAATCTGTATGTATCCCATCAGCAATTATACCTTTTCAAAGGCCATAGAGTGATGTAGGGGGGTCTTTTGAATGTATTGGGAGGAGCCGGCCTTCCATGGTATGATGCATTAAAGCGTCGTATTTTCAAATCATAACAATTGTAATAATCAGGTGTGATGGGGAGAGTATGCATCCCATCTCAATGCATCCAATCCTAAAAAATATGGGATGCATACTGAAATAATATCTCAATGTGATAAGGTCCCTTGACTAGTGATGTCCTCCATTGCACCCCAGTCATCCAACCAAACTGAAGGATAAACTTTCACACACCTTTCAGTTAACTTGATTTTGAAGGGATGGTCCCAATTAATGTCCTACATTTTCAGCTGTTTTGAAATGTTCCTGTTTCCTCCCACTTTCTGTCTTTGTCCTCAGCTTATTTCAGAAGATGCAAACAGAAGGGCCTTCCACACTGCCCTTTATCTCAGAATCTGATCCCAGATTATCTATTTTAAACTGGAATATATAAGTTCCCACTGCCAAATAACCTGGGATAAACAGACAATCTGGGATCAGATACTGGGATAAAGGGGCAGTGTGGAAGAGCCCTGAGAAAAAGTAATTTTCAGTGGATTAACTCAGCAAAGAGAAAGGAGAAAAAAGAGACTAATCTTGACCTCCTCAACAGCTAAGGCAAAAGCAAATTGCTGCAGCCTTTATTAGCTTCTATAGCCTTCCTTATTCATTATTTCTGTCCTCTTGATCATGTTTTGATGTTGCTTGGCCACATGTGTCCATCTTCATCTATGGACTACGTATTAGAGGGTGTGCTTTCAGTTTCCCCACACCATTGTTGCTTGAATAATATGACATGCACAGACTCTGAACTCACCATAGCTAGAAACTAAGTGCTCTGTTTTCTCTTGGACACGGATCTTGGAGGGAAGGCTGTTCTTCTTAATCACACCATCTTATTAAGCTGGGTTATACTGATCAAAAAGTACTTCAATTGTACTTGCAATGGTAGCTGATTGCTAATGTGTATCACACCCTTGACACATTTATGCTATAACAGCATGATTCGTACATTTTGTCATCTGCATTAATGCCATTATCACCACCCCATTTACCCAGCCATACACTTTGTATTTTGGTTGCTTATGTATACATAATGTCATAGCATTATTACAGTAATACTTTGATTTTTTTAAAAAAAATAGTAATTTTGTGGTGGCACAGGAAAATGTTTTGGAAAACATTCATATGAAATAACGGCATCTGAATAGCAACTTTAAATGGCTAACAGATCAACATTATTGCATTGTAACTGCAAACAATTTATATACAAATATTTTAAAAATTGAAAACGATTGCAAAAGCATAGATCAGAGAAAACACAATCATTCTTTTAGGAAGTTTTGTCATCTCCACTCAAATAGCAGAAGTAGCCATACTCAAGTTGACTATTGAATCACAGTGGAAAAGAAGGCCATAAATGGATTATTTTCTACATGAAAAACACAATGCTTCCAATTATTGTACTGCACTACAATACTGGGAGATCCAAGATTTATGTGCTAGGGCTGAGACAAAAACTCAACCAAATCACTCCTATGTGCTGGCACATAGGACCCTTGTACTAGCGGGACTGAAGATCGACTGGTCACAGGTTCGAATTCGGGGAGAGCGCGAATGAGCTCCCTCTATCAGCTCCAGCTCCTCATGCGGGAACATGAGAGAAGTCTCCCACAAGGATGATAAAACATTACATCAAAGCATCCGGGTCCCCTGGGCAACGTCATTGCAGATGGCCAATTCTCTCACACCAGAAGCGACTTGCAGTTTCTCAAGTCGCTCCTGACACGACAAAAAAAAAACTCCTATGAAAGTATAAAATTGTAGTGCAATAAGGACATGTGTATCTTATTGAAACAGGTATAGGGCAATTCCATAGCTGCTTGATTAGTTTAATTATTTGCATCCATTTTGGACTAGTGCCCATAGCTATCTACTTACTTCTCAACAGTTCATATGCAAAAGAAGACGGGACTTCTGCACCTTTATTAGTTCTGTACCATAGAATTAAATTAGTTTTGCTATTAACTTTGACTTGAGAGAATGAGAGAATTCCAAGTCACCCTGTAATCAATAGACCTGCTCAGGTCTCTTAGATTCAGGGTTGTGGCTTACTTGATAGAGTCTACCCATATGTAATGCAGTGTTCCTCTTTTCCTACTGCTTTCTACCTTACCAAGCATTTTTGTCCCTTCTTCTCACGATATGTCATATTGTCATGTCATCTCATGATATAGTCAAAGTATGACAGTTTAAATTTAGCCATCTTGGCCTTTAGGGAGAGTTCATGCTTAATTTGCTCTAGGACCCATACAATACACACACACACACACACAAACCCCAGAAGACCTTTTAACTGTAAAATATCAGTCCACAAACATCTCCTGGAATAGGAAAGACAACAGCAATTCCAAAATCTTGGAGCAGCCGTGGAGAAGGCTCTCTCCTGTATTCACTTTTGTAGATGCCCATGAAAACAGTGTCCTGCCAGCTAAACCTGCTGCAATTCTCTTTTCTGCACAACAGTTAAGGTAAAGGAACTTGTTGTCTCTTGTATCTGACCCTTCATACAACCTTTGTTCTCTTCACAGAAACAGGGAAACAAACCTAGATCCACCCAGCTTTGCTTCTAGCCACTTGCAATTTTCTTGTTGGATCTGACAATCAACTCCACATCCACAGCTTCAAATTCTTCAGTAGCTGTGCCTTCCCTTTAGACAGCACTATACAAAGCTTCTATACCACACTATATGCATCATAGTCTTAACATCTCATGCCTGAATCATTCTGCCATGCCTCAAAGCTCACTCTCTCAATCTTGTTTTGGACTTTTATAAAAATTACCTTCCACATGTTCTGTCTTCTCTGTGGGCTCAGCAGGGAGGGGGCGGCAACTCCAATGTGGGAGACCCTCTTCCCTGCTCGGTGCTTCTGTGTCATCATACATGGGTCTACACTTAAGAAAGGAAGCTGCTTTGGGCTGATTAATATAGAGGCCCCCCTTCCCATTATGGTATTTGGGTTTCTTTCATTTCTTTAGTGGTTTTCTATTTATTCTGTTTTCTTATGTTCCTCTTCCTTTTTTGAGAGGGACAGATTCCATACTCTGGCAAATACTACAACACCTGCATGTTGGGTTGTCACTTGTTCTTTTTATGATTGTGTGGAACGGGTAATTTCAGCAGCAGTTATTTGTTACCTGGTTGTGTGACAAAAAACGGCTGTTGAAAATTCCCCCTTTGACACAGTCTTGAAAAGTACAAGAGTCCTCTCTAGTTTTCAATCTTCCCAACTTTTATTGAAAGGCCCTTCCATATAGCCATATAACCCATAATATAAAGGCAGAAAATCTCACAATATCTGCTTTGAACTGGGTTATCTGAGTCCACAGTGCCATATATCCTAGTTTAAAACAGAAAACGTGGGGTTTTATTTCGGCTGTGTGGAAGGGGCCTATGTCACCTGTTTAGGCAATGTTGACCTCCCCATGCTATACACAATCTAAATAACCAAGCCAGGAAGCAATGGGCAACTGTAGCTACCCACAGAGACCTCAAAATAGCTGTGTGTCTTGGGCAGGTGTGTCCTTAGTGAAATCTTCTACTTCCCCATATAGTGAAAACTTCATGCAGTATTTTGGGTTGCTTGGAAGGAGAGACCAGTGGGGAATCTGGTACTTGCAGATGGATGGGCTGTTGCAAGATTGAATTGTGCAGCTCCACCATCTTTCTCTTCATATCATATTTTTACTGAAAAGGAAAGAAAAGAGGAAGAAATGACAGGAAAGTAAGATTTTCTGCCTCTTTGTATAAAATTTCATATAGGAGATAATGAATGCAACTGCACAATATCTAATAGTTGCTGTGTTCACAAATAGATAAGCCAAAGTCAAGCGGAAGCAAGGATGTTACAAGGCTTCCTATAACATCAGATAAAATCCTCAAAATGAAGAAGATTCAAAAGATTATTTCTCAAGCCATTTCACAACTTTCTGGCTCTAACTCTCTGTGCTTCCAGATAAAAAGTCAATAGTATTGCAGAAAACTTCTGTTGCAACCTTCAAGCCCACTTGTATGACTCCACCCTGCACATTACAGGGAGTGGTGCTTTTTCTTACTATTTCATAGGCCAGTGATGGCAAACCTTTTAAAGATTGAGTGCCCTAACCACAACCAAGGGGTCGCAAATGGGTGAGTGGGGGGCAAGTGATGGCGCATGTGCCAGGAGAGGGGGTGCTGCGTGCCCCTTCTAGCATGCAATAGGAGCATAGTGTCTAGATCTAAGGAAGTAATGCTACCCCTCTATTCTGCTTTGGTTAGACCACATCTGGAATATTGTGTCCAATTCTGGGCACCACAATTCAAGGAGATTGACAAGCTGGAATGTGTCCAGAGGAGGGCGACTAAAATGATCAAGGGTCTGGAGAACAAGCCCTATGAGGAGCGGCTTAAGGAGCTGGGCATGTTTAGCCTGAAGAAGAGAAGGCTGAGAGGAGATATGATAGCCATGTATAAAAATATGTGAGAGGAAGCCACAGGGAGGAGGGAGCAAGCTTGTTTTCTGCTTCCTTGGAGACTAGGACGTGGAACAATGGCTTCAAACTACAAGAGAGGAGATTCCATCTGAACATTAGGAAGAACTTCCTGACTGTGAGAGCCGTTCAGCCAGTGGAACTCTCTGCCCCGGAGTGTGGTGGAGGCTCCTTCTTTGGAAGCTTTTAAGCAGAGGCTGGATGGCCATTTGTCAGGGGTGATTTGAATGCAATATTCCTGCTTCTTGGCAGGGGGTTGGACTGGATGGCCCATGAGGTCTCTTCCAACTCTTTGATTCTATGATTCTATGATTCTAAGTTCACCACTACTGTCATAGGCCCAATCCACACCAAGGCTATATCTTAGTTCCAGTGAGCATTATCCTGCCTTAGTTTGACCCTACTAATATAACACTCACCTGTTTAAATCTGCACTCAAGCCTATCTTCAAAGCTCCTGCCCCCAACACCATTGATTATGTTAGGTCACATTATTATAACACCTTCAGAGTTTTTTTTCTTCCCAGTATGCGTAAATCTATCAAACAATAGTATTCCTTATTTCCCTACCAATCTTACCACCCACCTTGCACTCCTGTTGAAAGCTCCCCACTCCCTGCCCAATTCTCCGGTTAATACTTAGATAGGGGCCTACCAGGAAGTGACTGGCAAAACCACCTCCGTATAGTCCTTGTCATAGAAAACTTCATGAAATTCATGGGATCGTTATAAGTCAACAGATGACCTGAAGGCACATAAACACCCCTCACATCTTTCCTCAAGTCTCACCTCACTCTTTTCCCAAAATAAGGAACCTTAAAGGGCCTTACACCTCTTTGCTACTGGTGTTGGTGCACTGGCTTGTGGAAAAAGGTAGACACTAGACAGTGTGTTGTTGCAGTGCTGGAGGTAAATTTAGAGCTTGTCATTGATGGCCCAGGCTTGGACGTTTCAGAATTTTAAGGGCATGGGTATCTCAGTAGCTTGGGTATTGGGATTTCAGGCTTTTCAAAAGTATGTCCTCTCTTGGCACCACTGGTTTCTTAAAGTCGGAATCAATGTCCAGATACACTGTGAGATTATGTAGTTTCTGGGCTGCATTCAATCCCGTTATTTTCACAGCTCCTGGATCTCACAATCTTTGAGGATGCTTGCCATGGATGCAGGCAAAACATCAGGAGAGAATGCTTCTCGAACATGGCCATATAGCCCGAAAAACCTACAAAAACCCAGCTCCTGGATCTCTTTAAGACTTCCATCAGAAATAGTGGATTCTTCATCAAGATGCCACCCTAATGTGCTGTTCAGTGCACAAATGTTAAGGAAAGTAGCATTGGGACAGGAAAATTGGGCCCCTCACTGTTGAAAAGGGGCAAAAAAAAATCTTTTTTCTCAGGGCATCATTCTTTTTGGACTGCCACTGTTGTCTTCCTGGCCAAGCACCTCCCCAGCAGAGCTCTCTGGTGAAGCAGAAAACTCTGAGATCAAGTAGCCAGAACAAGGTGTCCAGCTAGAGTTCAGTTATGTGGCGGTAGCTGGATCAAAACCCTCACTGTTTATCTCATGGCTGGGCTTCTTGGAAAGGGGGTGGATGCCCTGAAGAGAAGGAATAAAGCAATGCCAATTTGAATTTGGGTAGGGGAAAATGCATTTCACTCCGGTATATTACTATAGGAGTGGCACTTATGGGGTGGATCTGGGTCAACTCCGGAGCAGAATATTGTACACTGGTGCTGATTTTGCTGGTGTTAATTCTGTATGGGAAAACCTTATTTTCACTTGCCTTACTTTGGAAGGCAGATACAGCTAAAGAGTACAAGGACACTGGTGAGGTCAGAAAGGAAATTTGAATGGAAAATACTGGGCATAGCCGTGCATGCTTAACCATTTTCCCATTGGCTAAATCATTTCTTGATTTTGCGATTAGTTGCTTTCATTTTGTATCAGTTCTAGATGCAATGGACATTTAGAAAGCTTTCAGTAGAGAAAGCCATTGATGGAAAAATAGTTTAGGGTTTGCATGTCACTTGTGCTTGACATTTCACAGCTGTTGCGACCTATGAGTTATTTTGTTTGGGAGTCAGATAAAGCAACTAGAATTCATGTGTCAGTTATTTCATTCTCAGGAATTAAAATTCCTTTTGTTGAGATGTAATTGTCACACATTACCAGAGAATAGACTGGAAGTAATGCTTTCACAACCTCATTTTCCAGAAATGTCCCTTCAACCACCAAGATGAGTCACGTACATCAATTCTTGATGGCGCATGTCTCCACATCCAAGATGGTCAAGCTTTAAAAGAACCAGAATTAAGGAGAGAAGCATTGGAAAATATAAAAGGGAACCAGTTGACAAGCTAGGCTTTGAAAGACTGCTCATTTTCCACTGATAAGAGGTTCCTCTACATTGTAAAATAGATGTATTTGAACTCCACTTTAACTACTTTGGCTCAATGTTATGGACTCCTTCAGCTTTCTCTTCCAAATACTGCTTGTATCACATCAAACTACAGTGTGTATGATTCAATGGCATTGAGCCATGGCAGTTAAAGTAGTGTGAACTGCATTAATTTTACTCTGTAGATGTACCCAAGGATTCAATACAATTTATAACTCTGAAGTCATTTGTTCACAATTTTTTCTTTTATGTTCTTATTATTATTTTGAAGATCAATATAATAATATACAAAGCTGGAATTTGACTTCATATATCAAACAACAATTTAAACAACATTTGCTTGTTCTAAGCCATCTCAGATCCCAGGACAGTAAATAAATAGCAACACTCAGAAAACAGAGGAATTTCAGACATGAAACAATCAGGGCCAGTTAACACCTCCCAACAAAGTTTTCCCTCAGGCAGGAAATAGTCAGGCTTTGAAGCTGCAAAGTCATTCAATGCTAATTAAGCTGGCCAATTGCAACATTCACACTTGCTTCAAGCAGGCAAGAGTTCTTTCTCCCACCCTGGACATTTCACAGATATATAAACCGCACTTGCCTAGTTTCCAGCAGGCCTCACAACCTCTGAGGATGCCTGCCATAGATGTGGGCAAAACGTCAGGAGAGAGTGCTTCTGGAACATGGCCAGACAGCCCAGAAAACTCACAGCAATCCAGTGATTTCAGCCATAAAAGCCTTCGACAACCACAGATATATTATGACATTCAGGGCTCCTCCAGACTGCCCCAAAGCCTCATTATATGGTAGGAATTGCAGTTGTAATTGTTAGTTTTTAAAGAATGTCCATATGATATTATTCCTGTCCTAGTATTTTTTGTTTCCTTGTGAATTCCCAGTACAGGCAGTCCCCAAGTTATGAACAAGAAAGGGCTATGGCATTGTTTTGCTGTTTGTGCCCCTGTTCAGAAGATTTCACCTCACTTTCTGTCCCTGTGACAATTGGA